GCTCCCTTTTCTGCTCCCTTTCACGCTCGCACATTCGCTCTCTGTCTCTCACCTACCTTTGTTACACCCACTTTGTTAATTATTTAGCTGACGTTTTGGTCTTGCTCAATAATTCAAAATGGTCACAGGCTGATCTGATGACTTAGTCCCCATTACTACTCAATACACCTTGTGATATTACAAGCAAACTGAGACATGTGCCTTGCACAAATCCCAAAATGAAACCAAAATCAGAACAGAAAAATAAGCACATGATTACAACCACGATTTCATTTTGTTAAAAGATACAAAAAAAATAAGTTGATTAATTCATTACTTGAATACAAGTGAAACAGCAAACCCTGGTGACCACACCCTCTGGACCCTCTAGGCCTTCAGAGAAGGCCTAATGACTTCTGTGAAATAAAATAGTCTGTCATCTTTAGTTCATTTTAATTTAATATAATTATCACACAGTTTTGGTTAGAAACAAATTCCAACAGAAAATTGTCCGATCAGGATTATTTTTTTCTCCAAGGTGTCTAGTTAGATACAGCCAAGCTAGACAGAAGGCCTTACACATCAGATTAACCAACAACATAATTAGGAACAGACAGTGGAATCAACCAATCACATTTTCATCTTCAATGAATGGGTGAAATTTCATGAAAAAAAAATTGTCAAAAAAGCATTCTCATCAAAAAAAACATCAGATTTGACATATGATCAGTATATGTTAATATGTCTGTCATAAGCTTCAAATAAAACATGGAATGTCTTTCACAAACTTCCAAATGCTGTCTAGGACAGCCAAAAAATATACATGAGAAGGGCCATTAGCTTAGTGCTTACATAGTAATAGAATCCCATAGAGACACTAGCAGACATTATCGTAGAAAAAGCTGGTCAGCCATATCAGAATCAAAATCTAGCTTTATTGGCCAGGTTTGCTTACACATACAAGGAATTTGGTTTTGGTTGTAGGAGTTCACAGTGCACAGTATCTGACAAACATTTTACAGTAGTAAATAAAATAAAAATAAATATAAGAATAAAATAGAATGTGCGTTCTTACCACACACTAGTACCATCACACACACACACAGTCACACCTGTAAACCTTGCATTGTGCAAAGTATACGTTTTATATTAAAGTGCTGAGTGTAGCAGCGTTTAAAGGATGTACAGTGGCAAAAAAAGGGATAAGTGAGGTAACAGCCTGATAAGTGGGGTAATAATGCAGGTAAGTGAGGTGCTAGAGAAATAACACTGGTAGAGAGGTACAGAAGATGGATTGTTGAGTGTTACTACATAGCATATATATATATATATACATGAATTATGGGAATAGCAATCAGGTGTTGCCTTATCTCCAAATTTGCTGTCTGCAAATAACAGCAAGGTTTAATAAGTAAAAGCTGATGTTTTTGCGCTAGCTGGGCAATGCATCTCTCTCTAGTCTGTGAGAGTGAAATACAGCTGTTTAATACGTTCGATGAAAGCCAGTGGGCAACTGCATTTACAAACTGCAGCTCAGAAAAGAAAACCGCATCGCATGTAAACATGTGCACAATATGGGCATGCACAAAATGAATCTCGCATTTTGCAGCAGCAGCCTCTGTGGAGTCCAGCCCAGTTCAGAGAATATAAGGGTGGTGATGGCAAACTTCTCATGGACACACATCACTTTAAAACAAGACAATGATTACCTAGTCTCTCAGTCAAGCTTTCGTTACAGTTAATGTTAATACTCACTTTTCTTCAAGATTCTATAGAAAATATTCTATTAAATAAAAATGGCTTGTTTATGCCTCATGGTGTTCTGTGTAGGTCTACTTATTCTTAGACTGACAGATCGGTTTTAAAGGAGGAAGGATTGTAGTGGGAGTGTCAGGAGTGACTGTGTGGCAAATGCAAACGTTTTATATGGCTCAAGGGTCAAGTAGGAAAGGCCCTTTGAAGAATTTTGCTTAGGGCCCCGGGGGGGGGTCAGGACTGGCTCTGATAGTAGAGGTGTTTTTTTTTAATTTTTGACATTTCTGGCTCAAACCAAAGGCCTAGGTCTAACAGTTACAGCTTTTCACTGAATTTCGTACAGTACCAAATTGATTTTGTTATTACATGTCATTTTCATACTTCTATTGCTAAACAAATTTGGTTTGGTTTTGATCAAGTGACTGAAGACTAGATTCAATAGGAAATATTAATTTTATTTCTTCACACCTGTGCTCAGGCATGCTCAGAGAACTTGTAGATCAAAGAAAGTGTAAAATGTCAGATAATAATGGCTTAAATATATCATTGAAAGCAGTTCAAGAACAGAAAAACAGTAAGCAAGGGTAACTATATGTCGCAACAACAAAAGCCAAGGTGTGTCCAGTGAGTCAGATCAGATCTCAGTTGTGCTGTGGACTTTTCCCTGCTAGATTATTCCCCTACATGTTTCCACACCTTTAAAGCATATGCCACTAAATCATAATTCCACTTGTCTTTAAAAAATAAATGCTCTACTCTTCACCTGCTTTGCTTCATTTAATCCCAGCTGATCATTCCTCACCCCAAGGCCAGGCTTACTGGAACACTCAGTCACACTCAATGCTCACTAATAATTTTTCATCAATCTAGTCTTTTTCAATTTATTCAGGTAGGCACCTTAGGTAAGACACAATTACCCAGAATTCTCATGATAAATATGTTTTGTGTAAACCCCTGTTACGCTGTTCTTACCATGATCACAAGCTCTGCAGTGAAAGGGAAACCCAGCCCATTCGTCTTACTTCCTCATGCAGGCTCTACCTGTAGGGAGGTGTGTTTCCCAGAAATGAGCCCTTTACATATACAGCAGTTTCTATCACATGATTTATATGCATCTGCTCAATTTTGACCTCAGGTCAATGATAAATGAGGAATAAAAAATTCAGATCTACATATTTGCCAATGCTGCAGTTTGTTCTGCAGGTTAATTTCAGTTCATTAAATTTACATTTACATTACATTTAAGTTTTGTAGAAAATCTACAAACAGTAATTTTACTTTTTTATATAATTAGCACACCAGCAAATTTACTCCAACAACAGAGCTTTATCTCATGTAGGCCTACATTCATTAAAAGTCCTGCTGACAGGTGCTGAAGGACATTCTGGTCTTTCCCATATTCTTTTTTCTTTGATGTAGTTCCTTAATTCAGAGGGAAAGTGCACAGGACTTGGGTACATTTGCTCAACAGGATCAGTTTAATCAGTCAGTCAGTCAGAAGGACAAACAACAACTCGTCCATCAGTTAAATAACTGCAATGAATCAGACTCGAATCAGCCTCTGCCCTTCTAAACGTCCTATAGTGACCTCTGGTGGCCATGCTAGAACACTCTTTGAGAATGGGGTTCAGCTGCATTTGTCTCAGTAGGATTTACTGTACGTCTCCTTCGTAAGTATGTATTTATAGAACTGTGCAAATATTAAAGGTGCCTAAGCACATTATTTAAAGCTTTTCAAAGCCACAGTGAAAGGTCTTTAAAATCACTGAAAGTATAACTGGACAATCTTGTGCAAACATTATAAGAATTATAGGTAGAACAGAAAGTAGAACAGAACCACTAGTAAGGATACGTCTCAGATGAAAAGGTTCATTTTTATGTTTCCGAGTTCAGAAATCTAGAATGATGAGTTCATAGATGGATCATGCGGTAAAAAAGACCAATACTACATTTTTTAAAAAGGTGCTTCAAGGGTTCTTTAGTAAAGAAAATGGTTCTTTATAGATCCATGAACACTCAAAGAACCATCTGCATTACTAAAGGGTTCTTTGCATCATGAAAGGGTCCTTCAGATTGATGGCGAATGTGCTGTAGATGGTTCCATATAAAACCTTTTTGAAAATGGTTCTATAAAGCACCCAAAAGGTTTTTTTATTGTTACGGTGTCAAACTTGTTAGGTGCTATATAGAACCATCTATAGCACATTCATTCACATTTTCCATCAATCAGTAGAACCGTTTCATGATGCAAAGAACCCTTTAAGCACGCAAAGGGTTCTTTGAGTGTTCATGGTACTATATAGAACCATTTTCTTTACTAAAGAACCCTTGAAGCACCATGTGTAGTATGGCTAATGAGTATTCAATTGGGAGGTTTATCAAGATGCAAAGGAAATATCATGTAATATAACTTAATTTTAGGTCTTTGTAAAATACACATATTAATTTGTAATTATCATCAGGAAGATTAGGCATTCTCATGGACAAATGAGAAGAGTCAGTTCTTGGGAAAAGATAATTAAGCTTGGAACAGTTGAAGGTAAAACAAGAAGAGGATAACCAGCTACAAGATGGATGGGAAAAAATAAAAAAAAATAAGAGTAATCATGAATGAGCCCTTAAGAAGCCTGAAGACCCAAACAGAAAACAGGACAATCTGGAGAAATACTACCTATATGGTCTCCAGGAGTCAAAAGTGACTTGACGGCTCCTAATAATAACAGTATTGCTATGTATTGCTACGGTATTGCTACAGAGATCATGTTTGAATTTCAGTTTCATTTGATTTCGCTTTGAGGAAGTTTTATATTGATTCAGTTTGTCTGCTTGGAGCAGTATCAGAAGAACTAACATTTTGCAGAAATTCCTGATCTTTGTCTGCTATTAAACATAGAGCCTTTCCAAAAGTGTAGGACACTAAGTGCTGATTATAACACATCTGTTGTGAGAGTGAACACACTGACAAAATGATTTGTGATTCAACTGGGTACAGTGGTTGCACTCCAATGAAATATCATATCATAAAAACAAATATCTCTTTACAGGAGGGGTCAAAAACATTCTTTACTTTGAATGTAAGTTCATGTAAAGATATTTCATTCCAGGCAATTTTGTGAGCATTTCTATTGGTTCATTCATTATGAAATTTTCAGACAATGTAAAGGACTGCTGCTGTGCTCAAATCATATAGAAAAGTAAAAATCAGAAAAAAAATAGATACATGCTTTTCTTTGGAGACGACAATAAGCTACATGTTATCAACACAAACGCTTTCCTTAAGATCACTTGTTTTGGCAATACATGTGTTTGTGAAATATATTTTATTCATCAGAATCAGAATCTTTATTCCTGTGTTCAAAGAATTTCTCTTGTGCAGGTGTCAACATAAAACTAAATTCGATGAAAAATAAACATAGAAAAATATATACTATACATGAAATAGACAGTACACAAACAATCTGTGAGTAAATAAAGGATGTGCTATAAGAGTTAAGCACCTCTGCTGTCAAGTTCTCAAGTGCCTCTGATTTCTCAAATATGTACAGTATACAGTATGTACAGTATGTTGGGGAGACACATTTTAATTATGTCAATTCAAAGCACCATTTTTTCTTGTAATTGCAGAGTTTCATACCACTTTAGTTCCAACTCAACTTAAAAGGCATTCAAATCCTGGACATTTAACCTACAGGATCAGAGCTGGGTGTTTGGCCTACTTATTTGGGTCTTCTGGCCAGACATTAAAAAAAAGCAATAACTAAAAAACCCAAAGAAAAGGTTTTGTTGAAAGCAAAATTAAAACTAAATACCAATTTTCTTTATTATACTGTCGCGTGGACGATTTATTCCAACACCATTTGCCTTAGTTTAGCTTTAACAAAACTAATGCAGTAGAGATCTAAAGGGATAGTCAGACAGAAAGGCAAACACTGTCAGACAGCCTATTTACAGCGTCATTAGCGGGTTATAAAACCTGACCGGACTATGGAGCAGCTTCTGTTAAATGTGAGCGCACTTCCTCATACAGAGCAGTGAACAGATACCGTAAACAATAGCCTCCAAAAACCCCCACAGCACCTGACTCTCCACAGCTCATATCACCCTCATTTACCTGCACGCGAATTACGTCGAGTCGTTAGAAAACCCCAGCCAGCGATTGGTTGTCACCACGAGGGGGCGGGACCACAAGAGAGATATGTCTATGCAGGCGTCAGGAAGTGGAGATGAAGTCGCCTCCCTGTCACCCAGGTTTAGTTTCATCTGTATTCTGAACGGTTAGCAAACACAAACATTTCAGAAAAAGGTAAGGACCTCATCTCTTTTCTGTATAACGAACAGTCACATTTAGTTTACTCGTTTTCTCTTATACGAAAGGAAAAATAAGAATTGTTAAATACTACACATGCTGGCTCGCCTGTTGGCAGGTTGGTAAAGTAAACAGAGTCACCAGGAGCCAACATGGAGATGAACACGTTGGTAATGAAAGTGTCTTCAACATTAGCACAAAGTAATTGAGAGGATATGTAACAGGTGAAATGTATGCATGTCTATATTATGTATTACTGTATAACCCTTTATGTTTGTGAAATGAGTTAGTTACTGGATACTAGATTATCTCCCAAACAGCCTTTGTTCTTAAGTTATGTCTGTTCATGCTTTTATTAATCTGTTTTTCTTCAGGAAGTCATCCAATGATAATTGTAAAATGAGGAAAAAAAAAGAAACGACAGTGTCAGTATCTAGTTATATTAAACAGTGGACAGATGCAGTCAAATGTAAAACTGTGGTAAGAAACAGTATTTCGTTTAACATAAACTAGAAATTAATGTAACAAGTAAATGTGTCTAGTAAATGTGACTAACTTTATCCTCCCCACCAATATAGTAAGTCTATCACTTATGCACCCCTTAAAAATTGTGTGTGATGGCTACAGAACAAATATAGACATCTTATTTACTATTGAAAACAACCACTGAACCTACACGTCTCTTGCCTTTTTATATGTAGTGTTGATAAAGGTAAAACGGTAGTAAATCTGAAACAGAGAATATATTTTTTTTTGGGAACTATTTAGTGTCTTGGAACACCCTGCAGGTACCTTTTCACATGCAGGGTATTCTAGTTAAAAATCTTATCTCAAAAATATCATAAAACGATGTCTCAGGTATCACATAATATAAAATAGCTTTCTAGCTTAGATGTCTGGTTCCTATCAACATTGTTGTGAACAATTCAGACTCTGCAAGTTTCTGTAGAATCTGAATGACTTTGTTATTTAACGTTATCTTACCGATTTAATTATACAGAAATATACTATGCCTGTTGTGTTTAAAGGTGGTCTGTGTGTCTAGTTAATGAAAAATGAAATTAAATATATATTAATTTTCTTCTTCTTTTACTTTCTACTAGGATTACACACAGTTACCAGAATGACTTTGACTGAGCATATTGCACAGCCCAGTCCCCAGGTGCTCTTAGTGGGTGAGAATGACAGCAAGCGGCTCCTGGAGACCTATGTGAAGAGAAGCCTGAGCCTTAATGATGGGGCACAGTCTCCACATCGCCGAGAGCGTCGGACACACAAGTGGGTCACTCTTGCTGAGAGAGATAAGAGGGATCGTAAACATTCTAGCGACACCTCCATTCACCTTGATGCCTCAGATTTGGTGGAGGACCTTCGTAAAGATGAAGCATTCTCTGAGCCAGAAACCCAGAGCAAGCTCCAGGCAACAGGAGATAACCCTGAGATCAAATCTAAACTGTGGAAGAAAAGAGGCACTCTCAGTAGGAATGATGGATCCAGCGCATCTCGCAAATCTGATGGGAAGCCCAAGAAGTGGTTTTTACACTTTGATAAAGACAAACGAGATGGTAAACAACCAAACAAAGCCTGTAAACAAGAGATCAAGGATGAAGCTTTACCACAGACCCCTCTAGCTGACCACCTGGAAAGCTCAACAGAGGAAAAGAAACCCAAAGAGATCAAGAAGAGTAAGAAATATTCAGTATGGAAGAGTGTCCTGGGGTGGTTCTCCAGGGGAAATAGTGAGAAGCAGGAGGAACAAGATGGAGAGGACACGAGACCTGAAGGAGCCCTTGCTCCTCCAGAGGCTTCAAGTCCCTCGACCTCCTGCCTGCCTTTACCTGATGTTCTCAGCAATGGTGATGCCATCAGCTTGCGTCGTAGATCATTTAGAAGAAGGCGGTCCCAGAGGAGGTCATCACTGAAGAGATGCAGCAGGGACATGGGACAAGATAAAGCCACTGGGAGACCATTAACTCTAGACCTGTCTTCTGATACCATGGTGAAATGTAGGTATAGGAAATGTAGAATAATTACACTATTGTGTACAGCAAACATTTTTTATAGATCTTGCATGTAAAATACAATTACATATTCATACTCAAAAGTACATAATTTCAGATATAACTTTTTAAAATTCCAAAATCACGCGTGAAAGATGTGCTGAAGTCGTAAAAAGAGACAGAAAGGGCTCAGTATCTGCCATCCAAAAGAGAAACCTGGTCAAGCATCAGTTGGACAAACTCCATTCACTCCATGCCTAAAATCTTTACCCATCATCTAAACGAAGGTTACTAACCTACATTAGAGAAAGGGACATTAAAGTTTGTCCCACTTATGTCTGAGTACTTTTACTTCCTTACCCAAGTTTTCAGTTAATCACCTGATCATTTCGAGTCTACCTGGTCATTATTGCTTGGTACAACTTTTCTAATGGATAAGAATAAATCAGTTATAACTTGGATAGTAATAAATCCATAAGACAGAAACTGAATTTCAGAAGATGTCACAAGACCACTTTGCAGCTTTGTATGTAATTTTCAGAATTTTGGTTGCAAACGTCAAAATTAGGCATCACCAACATGGTGCTTGGCTACTTGGATATTTGCTCACTTTCTACAAGATTCACAGCTTTTGGCAAACGCGGTTGTCTTTAAATTTACAGTAAACTGCAAAAAGGTAGATACAAAGCTTTGTTCTGACAGTGATGACTTGCTGCTGTCACAGTTAATGCTAATATTTTACTGTTATGAATTAATATTATGTATGTAAGCATCCCTTGCCAAATATTCATGGTGGTTGTATCAGCATCACTAACACACTCTTAGCAGTTCTTTTTTATGAGTATAGTGAGTTTGCTTTAAAACACCTGCTATATGTTTATAATGTTTCTCTTTCTGATGCATACATTATTTTTTGTGCACATTTGTACAAATGAAAGCTAAAGACACATTTTAATCGCAATCATTTTTGCAGCAATTGAGGAGGTCGAGCCTACTAGTGCTTATTATGAGAAAATGTCAGAGGAGCTGCAGAAGATCGTGCATGAGGTGAAAAACAGTCCAGCAGAGGACAACAGAACTATCCTTGATGCAGTTCAACCTACAGACATAAATGGCTTACCCAGTGAGTACTGCTTATTGGCTTGGACTGAGAATAAAGTCTGTTGCTTAAGACATAGTTATGTTGCGTTAAGAGTTTTAACATACATGTACATTTACACGTATTTGCATAAAAAAGTGCTAGATTGGAAACATTGTCAGAAAGGCTCTGATTATGCAAAACTGGAGAATTTAAACAGGACATGCTTTTATAGTTCCTCATAATTCTTTCATATTCTGTCTTGTCAGTTACTCAAGAGGAAGTTATTGAGAGGATCATTACGTTGATAAAGCAAAACGGGGATGTCATAGATTCCAAGGTAATGTTTTTCCACTCGGCTTTAGAGGGCTTTACACTTCCATCACATTATGTGTCAGTAGTGTCCATCACTTAGAGCAGTGGTCACCAACCTTGGTCCTGGAGATCTACTTTCCTGCAGAATCTGGTTCAAACCAAAATCTACCACACCTGTTGCAGCTAACTAACCTCCTCAGAAGTGTGTGACTGGCTGAATCAGACGCATTAGTGTAAGGTAAGCGGAGGACAGCATGTTAGATTCAGGTTGGAACTAAACTCTGTAGGAAAGCAGGTTTACAGGAGGAGGGTTGGTGACCACTCGCTTAAAGCAATTCCATCCAAAAGCCACAAATGGAGTCCTTTTTAAAACAATATTACATGAGTTGAACATTTGGAAGACACTTAAAACGGAACCTCTTTACTCTTCCCCACAGCTGAAGGAGAATCCCGCCATTAGCTCCTACTTCACGAAGCTCTCCTATGGCTCCTTCCAGCAATTGGCAGACCAGTATGTACTAAGTACTGAGCTCCCCAAGCAACCTCCCATGGCAGCTCCAGAGCTGGTGAAGTTTGCCTTTACGCTGGACTTCACGGCCCGAGTGGCTGGTCTCTCTCGCCATGCTCCTGGGCACATCCTTGGTTTTGGGAATCAGTACCTAAAGGATCGGTTCACTCATACAAGCGAGAGCCATCCTCACATCAGTGACATAATATCAGAGAAATAAAAGAAGAGCTCTGACAAAGGAGAGTGGTGAGTCAGAGTTGTTTCTAAAGCAAAACTTTTGCTCCTTTCTACCTTCACACTGAATCACCTCTTAGTCATATAGATGTTTGCGTTCATAGTCAAAATATAGTCAACATAATTTGTGGTCATAATGTCAGCCACAGTTCAGTTTAATCTTTTGAACCCTACAGGCTGATTACCCAGACAGGGATAAAGCCTGTTTCTGGACTACAAGGCGTTCTGAATGAAGATTCTCCATTGAAAGGAAAATGTAGTCCAGGACTAGGTTTAATCCTTATCTAGGAAACTGCCCCTAAGTGTTTTATTCAGTTAAATATGTAAGACCTATTGTTCAGTTACCACTATTAATTAATTATTCAGTAACTACTGTTAATGTGTAAGTTCTGTAGGTATAGGAATGATAAACTGAAGTATGGGCTCACACACGAGTCCCTTACAGTTTAAAGGCTTAAAGAACTTTTTTTTTTCTTTCAGAAGGCATAATATGAAGAAGAACTGACGTGAGGTTGCATTTCAGAGGGTTGGATGACCTCCAGGGGGTGGTGGCAAATCGTCATGACATCTTCTGAGCTTTAACCTCTTAGAAATATTCATCTAGATGAAGGCTGTGAGAGAAAGCTGTAAAGCTTAATAATTACAGAGGTCATATTACTATACTAACCATATCACATACTACTTAGTGTCTACTATTTTATGAGATATGCAGTGCCACAAATCAGGCCACTTTGCGAGCTGTCATGATTGCAAGGGTTTTTGCTATCAGAGGCAGCACACGACACACAAAATGCCCTTTGTTCTCTGAGCAACAGCCAAGAAGTAGGAAAAACAGCGTACTTTTATGCAGCCGTATCTAAGTATATACTTTTCCGAGACATTTTGCATTTGCCACAACCAAAAACATATCACTGCTGTCTGAAGAAAATCTCGTATCTCCATTTTTGTTGTTTTTCAGTTTTTTGCATAATTTGAAAATGCCTTTTGCCCTTTACATAGTGTGTAAATTTCATGAAGAATGGACCCAAAGAAGTAGCCCAGAATGACTTGGAAAACAGTCTGGGTCCATTGACTTACATTAAAAGTAAAGTATGTTGTCATTTTGGAGATACAAGGTTTTCTTCCAACAACAGCCATATGTAATAAAGTAGGTAGTAAAAACTTTACTTCACAGCCAAGGAATTACCTGTAAAGCAATAATACCATGACAGCAGATTGTATCTGTCATACAAGGTTTTCAGCAGATACCTAATTATAGGTTAACTCACTGGAATGTGCAAAAGGTCTCAATAACATTTAAAGGGGAATTCCACCTTTTTTCAATCACTGCATAATTCAGTTTGACGTAAATTGACACTGTAGAGAAACTTCCTGACCTGGATTTCTTTACAGTGGTGGTGAGAGGAATTAAAGGTCACAAGTTCCACAACACAAATATAGACATTTATTACCCAAAATGACCAGGGAACCTACACATCTTCTGAGTTTTATATAATGTTGACAATGGTACCAAAAAGTAACTATGAAAAAAAAGGTATTCTTTGGGTACCACTTTGCCTTAAAATACCTTGCATGTACCTCTCCATGATGAATGCATTTAAAATTGAATATGTTTTAGGTCAAAAACCTTGTCTCAAATCTATCAACATGGCAAACATCAGGCAGCGTACATTCTGTAAGGTGGTTTTTAGCGGCATTAAACACTTCAGACATCTGGTTCCTATCCTAGCATGTTTCTTTAGAACGGAGCATTTCACATCAGACCACTCTGAATGATTTTGTTCACATCCTAGCCATTTAATTATGCAGATATTTTGAAAAATCGGTGGAGTTCCCCTTGAAGCGTCGTTACACAAAATAACACTTGTACTGTGAGAACAAAATTATTTAATTCTGTTTAATGTTAGCACTTAAGCTCTTTATATATATATATATGCTCTATATACTCTGTGTGTATGCAGGCATACACATAGTTATAAAGAAAGATCATCAATAAATATATTTTTGAAAATATTTATTTCATTTCTTTCTATGACATATTTGAAATCAGATTCTACATCTGATAATGTCAAGCACTTTACATTTTGTAATAATGAATGTATTGTAATAAAGAATTTCAGAACCAGCCAAAAACTGACTAAAGGAAATGATTTATCTTCATACCAGCTGATTATCAGGTCACCTTCAGAAAGATAATCATAACCAGTGCTTGGGCTGTCCTTAGGTATATTAGGTAACATGGGTGAGGCAGGATTTCTACATAATTAACACCATCATTGCCACTCTGCAGCCTGCGGTTTCCTATACTGGCCTACTTGGAGCTCAGTGGCTTGCGGAAGGTTCTCTCACATGGCAGATTTGCTTGAGAATAGCAGTCAACTTCTAGTTCTAAGTTGAGGAAGAAGTCAAAGGATGCAGGTTTGGGGCTCTCAATGTAGGAGCAGTTGACGGTGGACAACTGGAGGCAGACAGAGCACTGTTGTGAGTGGAGGGACTGCGTCTGCTTGTCAGGCTGTAATTGCTCCTTCGAAGTGAAGGCCAAGATGCACCATGGTACAAAGTGCAATGCAAGACAGAGGAGATGAAGAGGGTTTAAAAGAAGTGCAGGCAAATGAGGAAAGCACGCAGCAGACACGGAGGGTAAAGGTGGCACACACAATGCAGATGAACAAAGTATAGGTGGAAACAGAAAAACCGGCGAAGGCGAAAGTGGGAATCTGAAAAATGCAAGGATAACATCTAAGGAGAAATGATAGGACTGAAAAAAACATCTTGAAGCTATTATTCAGATTGGTCTAGCAGTTGAATTCTAGAAAAAACAATCAGAAACTTGGTCTCCTTAGCTGGGGAAAGCACACTGATATAGTGACTGTGCATGTGACTAACATTTACAGTACTGTCACAGGACTTACCTGCTCGACAGGTGTCTTTTCAAGTGGAGCATGGAAAAAACAGACAACCGTCTCATAGTCCACATCATATCTGTCAACATTCTCACAGCCTTTTGAAGAATCTGCCTCATCCAGCACACCAACCTATTTAGTGCTCACATACAAAAGCATTATTTAAAGCCTATGTTCTGTTGCTAAAGGGCTTTTTTCTTTGTAGCATCTGAGGTTATTGCAATCCTGTTAACATTCTCTCACAACATATTGGCAAGGTTTACGTAATAGAATGTTTGTCTTGAATTCTAACCTGTAGCAGAGTGTGACAATCGCAGTGGCAGGTAAAGTGTAGGGCAGAAACAAGTAGGACATCAGGCGGCAGGGCAAAAAGTTGTTGTGGAAAGTCCAGATGCCATACTGGCCTGCCAGGTTACAGAGCAAGGCTAGAAATTGGAAAAACAACACAACTGCAAAGCTTTAAGGGCCCATATAGAAAATCAAATTTTTGACTTTTTTTTTCAAATAAAAGACTTTGATGACATACATAAACATTGTTTTAAAACATACCATTCATTTGCCAGTTCATAGAGTTTATATGTGGAAAATAAGCTGCAAAAACAGCCAGTTTTGAATTTACTGTTTTGTGATTTCACAAAAAACAATGCATTTACATACCCTTACAGAAAAGTCACATATACTTCACATGTGAAGTGTCTAAAAACTGCATGTGTTTACAAGTAAACTTCAACTTAAGTGGTAAATGTAGCTAACATGGAATTAGCATCGTGCAAACTACATGCCCAAATCATCACACACATGCCTTAAATTTGAACAAGTCAACTAAGAGGCAAACTTCAGACCCCAAACATTTTTGCTGATTAACTACATTTGGGGTAAGGGGTACAATTGTGTACATTAGATTTTTGGCTTAACTATCACTTTCAGTGATGTGGTTTTGTGCACAACTACATATGACAACTCATTAATTTTTTAAGACTATGAGTGTGTTCAAGTGAAAATGATCATATTTTTTAATTTGTCCTATGTGGCACAGTCATTTAGTAGAACTGGATACATACCTAGTCTAATTACATGTTTTGTTTATGAGAGAAAATAATGGGAACAAGCTTAAATGTGATATTTTTCTGCAAATTGTAGTGCAATTTCATTTTATTTATTATTTTATTCAGTTTAATAATAATAATAAGTACAAAATATGCCGTAACTTTTACACAGGCCATTCTATATTTATTTTTATTTTTTCCCAGACATATTAAATTCAGTGAATAAACATTAACTGAGCATTAAAATATACAGAAGTGTGTTCTCTGTAGAGGATCTGTACTTATTTTCACTTAGAAAATCAACAAAACGTCATTTGACTCGACTGCAAATGAATGTGAGCAACTGAAGGACAAAAGTTTTGCAACTGCCCACTGGCATGACACACTACACCATTATAGTGAAGTATGTGCTCCAGAGCTGCAGATACACATCAAAGTAAAACACTAAACAAGATGAGATTCAAATATATGATTTCAATCAACATGGTGGTTTGTCTGGCTGTGAAAAATAAACCTACCTGCCTTTATCCGCTGCGGCAGGCTGAGATACAAAGACTGCTCCAGTGAGTTCAGGTTCCATGGAAGGTCTTCCAGGCCATGATAGTACTCCTCAAGTAGCTCAGAGACCCTCTCTGCACTTTCTTCACCCACCCCACTATCCTTTTCTTTCTTATCCCTTTCTTTTTTGTTGTTCTCCTGTCCTTGCTCTTTTCCCAAATGTTCTCTCAGGTCAGGCTGGTATACTGTCCCACTGCCCTCAGAGCTTGAACTTTCCAGGCGCTTCATTTCCACTTCACTACACTTCGTAAAGAAGGCAAAGGAAGACCTTTTCAACCTACACTGAGGGGAAACGTTTCCAGGGTTTATTGCCTTTGCTGCTTTGTTTTCTATGAATAATATGTATTTTATTACATAGCAACATTACAGAGTGAATATTTGCACTCAAGAAGAAAAGAAGCTACAGATTTAACACTCACAGGCTGGATCTTCCACACTATTATGGTAAAAGTATGGTACTATGGTAAAAGCCAACACAAATTGAATTCCCACACAAATGAATATATGCTAACAGGTACTTGCCTATAAGCTTTGCTATTAATTCTCTGAAGAAAACGAGAAGTAGAGAAAGAGGAGCTGGTTCCCCATATAATACAGAGCATGAGCAGTATGCTGAGCTTCAGGTTGCTCTGTGGCAGTCAGCAATGACAATGAACTGCCAAAGTATGCTGTGTTACACAGTGGACCTATTTTTGTACATCACAGCATGCCAACCGGTGCTATAATATAGATGACCATTGCTCTTTGAGCTCTAAATTACATGTGTAGATTGTGAGAATTTAACCCATTTAATCCCGCCAAACAGAACTGTGACTATTTTTATTTATTTATTCATGTATTTATTTAGGTATTGCTCGAAAACAGGTGTGTTTTCTACTGAATAGCAAATAGTTTTAAATTACAGGTTGTTTTGATTTCATATTAAAATTTTTACACAGGTGGTATAATTGGTCACATGGCCAATGCCATTTACTTCAGGCACGCACCTGAAAAAGACAGTGTCTTTTTTTGAGTATCAATAAAAGTATAACAAAATTTCAGCGACCGTCTTGGTCAACAGCGAGAGAATATGAGAGAACCTTCAGAGGAACATGAACTGATTGTGTCCCTACTTTTGATTATGTTTATGATACTAAAACAAATATCCGTTACTCATATAAAAACATATTTAGAATGTTGTGTTAAAAACCAATGGGAAAAATAAGAAACTCAAACATATGCAGATCACTGTCTTTAATGTGACCTGCTCACTGGTAAGGCTTTGACAGTGGTTAGACTGTGTTTTTTTTTTTTTGGTTCAGGTACTTGTACTTGCACCTGCACCGCTGTGACAGCAACTATGACTGATGCTAGGAACCACTGATCAGGGCACTATAACCATTGTGGCCCCCATGCATTTGCTCCATCTCCAATGAATGAATGAATGAATGCTTCTGTGGTGCCTTTGTCAAGCCAAATCCTTTCCCCATCAGTTTGACTGAATCTGAACTGATGCCATTGCTAAATCTTTGACTTAGAACTTGCCCAGTGGAGAAGTCTTACGTACAAGGTGGACCAACACAGAAGGCTACACAAAGCTGTTCCTTTAGGCTCTGATAGTCATTTGAGTGTTTTTAATAGATGCCCCTCTCTCCTTCATTTTTAGTGCACATTCTCAGTTATAATCTAAAAGCAATAAACCTATGTTGATCTTAAAAGGAACTGTTAGAGAAATAGTGCATTTTCATGTTTACTGTATGACTATGAATAAACAAATATAGAGCAATTACCCTCTGCTTTATTACTGCACAAATACTACTCACCAAATTAGAGGAATAAGACTTGAAGTTTGCCATAAATGCTAATTTATGTCTTAAAAGTGTCCTTTTGAGTCAAAATGCAAACTGACCATTAATGAAACTCAACGCAAACTTAACACAAATACGTTCCCATTTTTATTGTTTTGAAAAGAAGAAAGATTAATCAAAGAGGCCAAAGCCCATGTCTTCATCTGACTCTTCAGATTCTTCTTTCTTCTCTTCCTTTTTCTCTTCCGCTAGAAGAAAAAGGTAACAGTTCTCATTAGTCAATTTTAATAAGACCCTATTACTGAATACCACTAAACAGTCAATAACAGGTGTTTATAAAAAAAACTAAAAAAGAAAAAAAAAAACAGCCCAATACAATAAGGTTTAGACTTAAGGGCCAGAAACTGACCCAAAATCATGAAAACAGAAAATCAATAGCTTACCTGCAGGTGCTTCCCCAGCTGCTGGAGCCCCACCACCACCTCCACCAGGAGCGGCAGCAGAGACTGCCACAGCACCACCCGCTGGCACGGAGGCTAACTTAGCGAGGCCTACAGAGAGATTACCTTATAATTACCTTATTCAAAGAGACATTGTAAGAAATTCCACTCAATAAGCAACCAAAGGAGCAAAATTAAATGTAAACATACCGGAATTCATGACTTCATTGATGTCTTTGCCATTCAATTCACTGATGACCTGTGGAGATGCACACAACAATACCTTTACTCACCAGCTCTGTATAGCACTAGTAAGAAGAAAAATATGCAGCCCACAAAGAGACAACATTCATAATATGTTTGGGATGCTTTAAATGTAGATGTTTTAAACAGATACCTTATTAAGACGTTCATCATCGGCCTCAATTCCGACACTCCCCAGGATGTTCTTGATATCCTTGGCGGAGGGGCTGGTGTTTCCACCCAGCACAGCCAAAAGGTAAGCGGCCACGTAACGCATTCTGGAAGGAAAAAAAGCCGGACACCATAAAAATATAAAAATACCAAAATACATGGACAGCTTTTCTGATCTTTCTCAAAAAAGCTCAAATCAATTTAGGTGCCTGAGACATTAATCAGTTATGTTATTAAATAATGGAAAGTTCACACTGAACTTTGTGCTTAACGTGCACAAATTACAATCTCATGGAAAGTTTAATGTTTTTAGACAAGGAAACAAATGTCAATTTTGTGATGGTTATAATACTCGGAAAGAAAAATAATCATTAAAAAGAACTGCTTCAGGGTTTGCATATGCAGTACTGTGCAAAAGATAGATGAGTTTCAAACTATCTTGGCAGTGAGCATTTTCACCTCTAAAATCACTATCATTAGAATAAATACATTAAAATAAATACATTAAAAATTAATTAAATTTTTATTTTTCATTTTTACTGTAACACTATAACTGGTTTGGTTCCTGACTTCTCAGTGCACTTCAAGTATCACACTGATTTGACAAATTTACTTCATCAGCAACCTGAATTAATATCATGAAGTATTGATTAACTGAGCTAGGTACCAGATACTAACTGTAAACACTGGGCTTCCTCAAGAGAGCGTTGAAAAAGGTTACACTACTCTCACACACATAAAAATCACCATTCATGTATTTATTAATTCACTTATTTGTATTTATTCTAATGTTGTCTGTTTAGTCTGTTTTTCTGATCAACATTACTATTCAGATACATGGCTTTTCACATGAATTCCTTAGATGCCCTTGACACTTTTGCATATTACTGTATGCATTACTGTACATGTTTCATTCTTAGAACGTAAACTTCCCCCGATCTTGGGACAGTGTAGTGCACTTTTTGAGGCACCACTATCTCCTTTTTCCCACTGATCACCACCACCCCTCCTCCTAGAGATCCAACTACTAACTTGCGCCTGATCCAAGCAATCGGACATAATAGTAGCAGCGGTGTTATCAGCAGCTAATAGGTTAAATCGGCATTAGAACTTTACTCTGAAGTTAGTGATTTATCGTCCCTTTAAAGAAATCTTTAACCAAGTTAAAAAGTTAAAAAGGAGAAATGTTTGATAATTTGGAGGCTTGTTTCTTCTTGGAAGTTTGTTTTCTCTGCGTAGTTCTGTGTAGGCATATAAGCCTGTGTTGTTTATTTCAGTCCATTTATTCAGACAGCTCGTCTGAACTACACACTAAATACAGCTCTACGACCCCGCGCGCTTATTCAGATCAGGTTCAGGGTTTATATTCCGACAGAGTCACGGTACCGATATTCAGCCGAGAACCAAACAAAATGGAGCGCGGTCTGATCTGGTATGGCGACCACGCTACGAGCTGTCAGCAGGGCTAACGGGTTTCCCTGTGTTACCACACTTCTGGTCAATTTAAACGTTCGTGCTAGCCTATATACCCGTCATATGTACTAACTATTATTAATACACTATCATTTACTAAACTCTGGGGCAGGAATCCGAAAATAACTTACTTTAAGTCTACGAAAGACACGAAACGTCGGTCACGCTGCAATTTCCGGACGGAAGAGAAAGGCCGAGTGAAAATAGTCGCGGTATGACGCAGTATTTAGGGATCTGATTGGGTGTCCAGCGTGCCTCGTCAAAATCGCACACTGTGATTGGACAGTGTCAGAAAACTGTACAAATGAACCTTTTATTCGGACCCTGTAGGTGGCAGCAAAGAGTCATTTTACCTGCATAGGGAGCCTTTTATCTATAGGGAAGGAAAGATCGCCCCCTGCAGTTTGCGTTCAAACCGTAGGTTAAAGATGAACTCCCCAGTTTTTTTTAAAGTTCTGAATAATTCAGTCGTGTGAAGTGGTTCATCACAGAAAACTTACAGACTCAGCTTTCTTTACAGTGGTGGTGATAGGAACCAAAGGTCACGATGTCTACAGCACAAATTTAGCCATTTTATTACTCCCAAAAGCTACGAGTGAAGCTCCACGTGTCTTGTGGGTTTTATTTGTAATGCTGATGATGGTAAAATAGGCATACAATAGGCAGACATTTGACAAAACAAGTTTGTTTGTTTGTTGTTTGTTTGTTTTGGGTTTTGTGTGTGTGTGTGTGGGGGGGGGGTCTAGTTTGCTTTACAATGCCCAGTATGCATTTATGGATTAAAATAAATTGATTAAAATACATTTTACGCCAAATTCTTTTCATAAAACAAAGTGTCAGACATTCAGACATCAGGCAGAATATATCCAACCACTTCATGGAAGCTTTTAGAGGTGGACATCTGGTTCCTGTCACCACCACTATGAACAATTCCGACTCTCTAGAATGGAGCATTTCACATCAAACCATTCTGTACTGTAAAATGATTTTACATCTCAAACATTTAATTACGTAGATTCTTTTTTAAAGTTTGGTTGAGTTCCCCTTTATCAATGAAGTGCAAGTGCTACACATTGCCGTGTTACCTCTATATTCGGTTATATTTCGCTGTTCCAGATGGTTAAACGATGGTAAAAGATGGACTACAAAGTCTGTCACGTGGATGGCGCCACTATCCCCTATTCCACAACGCCGCGCCGCCACTGAACTATGGGTTTTGTAGTTCAATTTTATTTGAGTCATTATGGGTACGCAAAATGATCTGCTATTAAACTGTATTCGTTGCTACTATGCTTGGATGATCGCAGAATGGCTGTTTCAAAAAGAGTCCAGCTTTAAGTGATTGTTAATCCGTTATCAACATTTTCTCTATGGCGACATGAATGGCTATTCAAAATGTTTTGGTCGCATCCAGCAGATGGCGTAGTTCTGCACGTCTTTTTTGCCCACTGGCGCACAACGCCATCCAGATACACAGGATATAAAAACTGGGAGAAGAACATGACATATAAGCACAGGAGTAACAATAGCAATTTATTCGGTTATGACAATAACAACTCAAAACACACATTTCAAGCAACTGTCACAATTTTATCATGAACCAGAGATTAGAAAAATAATAAGCATTACAAAACACCAGCTTGTATGTCTTGTTCATTGGACTAGACAGCGAATTTATACAGCGTCCAAACGGTTATTAGGCCTACAGTTCAAGCAACACCTCCTCCTTGTCTTGCGTGAGCAAATAGGACACAGAGTCCAGCACAAACTCCATAATCTTCCTCCAGTTGGTGATGTACCAAAACTTGTAGGCAGCCTCTGAGAGCACGACCACAACGAAAATGGCGAGGAAAACCAGGAACATCCGATCGAGGTGATGCATCACCTTCTCCTTCAGTGTGCGCTGTTCCCAGGGCAGAGCAGCTCGGGCATCGCTGTACCGACCAAAATACAGCAGCGCCTCCTCCTCACTGTTAAACTCCTGCGCCTCCTCCATCTCCCTCTCCTCCCCGGCTCCATCAGCACCAGCCATCTTAACGAGTGCTCTCCAAAAACAGCTCCTTCAGCGATTACAGGTGCAAGTCAACAAGTGAAATGAGGATTTCTGTTTTGGTTCGTTGTCCTGTTGCTCCTCCTCACCTGCTAGGCCACAAGTGTCTGTTAGCACGTTGAACTTTTCTCTGTGCTGTTCTCCTTCCACTTAAGCCCTATTCTTCACTCGAACAGCACCTTGTTTGAATAATCACAGAAACTAGCTCACTGGCCAGGAACTGAAGGTTGTAGTCTGTCATCATGGTCAGTACTCAGAATGAGCATCTGTCTGCCTGAGAGTGGCGATTAGGAACCGACACCTCTCAAAGAGGATCAGTGGGACTTAGTGACACTCAGCACTTTCAAGGCCTTTATGTAAGTTGTTGGGTTGTAACAGATGGCTGTTCTGATAGACAGCGATGGCCTGCTGATCTGAGGTCAGTAAACGTACAAAACACAGTTGCCCATGAATGTATAAAGAACTTTGGCACCCAGTATGGCTCCAATCCTCAATCTGAAACCTCTATAACCTACACACTCAGCAAAAAGGGTTCTATGTAGTACCAAAAAGGTTGTTCTTTGGGTTGTACCAATAGGAGATTCCTAAGGGCTCTTTACAGAACGACCTACAACAAATTCTCTATCAAACTGAGGAACCCTTTAATGATGCAAAGGGTTTGAGTGTTCATGGTTCTATATAGAACTATTTCCTCTACTAAAGAACACTTGTAGAATCATATTTTAAGAGTGTTAAGCTATAAACAGTATTCCTTATGGAAAACCAGTCTTAGTTTGACAAGACCTTTCATAGGAATAACCTGCATGCTGCCTTCATACCTGTACAACATAGCAAAGTGTTTAAAGGGGAATTCTACAGGTTTTTCAACTTTTCTTCATAATTAAGTCAAAATGTAAACAAAGTCATTCAGAGTGGTTTGATTTGAAATGTGCCACTATAGACTAACTTACAGAATCAGAATTGGTCAGAGCAGTGGTGATAAGAACCAGACATCTGAGGTATTTAATTCCTCTTAAATTTATCTCACAGAAAGCGATTACTACACTAAAGGTTTGCAAATGTGTTGCCCGATGTCTAAAAAAAGTTTTAATATAGTTGTCATGACCCAAAAAATGGGTGGGCAACTCCAGTCTCTGAGGCCCACGTTTCTGCACATTTTGGTGTTTTTTTCTGCTCAAACACACCTGATTCAACTCAGTTAAGTGACAGGTTTAGAAGGTGTTTGAACAGGAACATCAGCAAACTGTGCTGCTCTCCATTCCCCACTGTTGTCAGATGAAAAAAAACTCTGGTCCTGGATGAGCACTTAGTCCACTATGCTTTGTGAAGCCCATCATGCTAAGGTTTTCATGCTAAGATTTTTATAATAAATAAATATAATTAAAAAATGAACTATACTTTTGTACCCACTCTCCTCTTTTAAATAATTTTAGCAACGGTGTAAGAATGCTTTACTTTAAGAAAAAATACAGAAAACTTAAAAAATACCATGCAAATTCATGATACCACACGCACGACCATCCTGTATGTTACTCAAAAAGCATCTTCATAAAACACTACACATACCACAATTTCTTAAAGTGAGATTTTATTTCTCTGTACATAAATGTACAGTTCATGACCAATTCTTCACATAGGCTTAGGAGGAGCTCTGGGAGCAGCACCCTGTAGTAAAATAAAAGGGGGATAAAAAGAATGGATCAGAATAAAAATCATACAAAGACAAGCAGTTTTATATTACTGTCAGACTTTTCATTACATGTTAAAATAAATGTACCTGTGAAGATACTTACAGTGAAATTGCTAAGGCTCTGCTGTGTTGATGCAATTCTTTAACTATATTCCTTTCAGATACAACTACACTATGCTGGTGTGTTAAATTCCAATGCAGTTTTAAACTGTATGTCCACCAAAAGCATGTGAAGGCTTGAGGCAATAAAATGCACACTTACACTGGGCCTGAAGCGTGGAGGTGGTGTGCGGTCCTTCCGTGCCTCGCGAGAACGGTTCCTCACCACTTTACTGTGGATGGCGCAGCTCACGCAATAATGTAGCTTAACGTAGAGCTTGGGCAACACATAGGCTATAAAAGGGAATGCGAGAAGAAAATTCGCAGTAAGACATCAAATAACTGACAGACACAGCAAAATAAGGTGTATTAAACAAAGTCCCTTAGTGGATTCAGTGTGAAAACTCAATATTCAGTCCTTCATTCATCAACAAAATAAGACTTGCTGTCCATATCACCCAATCTGGTCTACCACTAATAACTCAGGCAAAAAGCAATGGAAACTGCCAAATTGTACAGGTTTAACTTACAGTCAAATACACTAGCCTCCGAGATGTCCCTCACAGCTGCAGCCTCAACGATGTTCCTAATGACAAATTTCTTGATGGCCTTGTCTTTGGGCACACACCGAGCACAGTTGGTGCAGCGGATGGGCTGGACATGTCCACAGCCCTTCTTGGCACGTCCGTTGTTCCTTCTCTTCTTAGTCTGACATAAAAAAACACAAATTTAATGTAGATCAGTAAGGCAAAAGTTAAAAATAGAGCAGTGACCAACAATTAACATGAACAGTTAAAACCTTGGCACTCTGGCAAATCAGGAATGTGCTATAGTTAAAGACTGGCCTGCATTTCTTTGAACAACAGAACTTAGTTTTGTTGGATTATATTAATATATTAATTCATCAAAACACTCACAGAAACACTCATCTAAAACTGTGACTAATCAAGATGTGCCTATCAAAAACTACAGTGATTGATGTGCTCATCTGCATATTACAGGCTTCTGCAATGTCAGTATTGAAAATGCCCATATTGAAAGAATTTACAAATGACACAACCTGTCCTATGTATTTTAAAAATATAAAATAACTTCTAAACATAGAAATAATGGGACATCAACAAATGCCTTAATAACAACACTGTGCTTACACAGTGAACAAGCAGTGTCGGTGCCTGACAAACGGATATGCACTTTACTAAGACAAGGGAATAAATGCTTTCAATTACGTCCAACGCGAGGGCTCAGATGTCGGCTTTTGTACGTTCATGTTAACTCAGACACGCCGCTTTGTAAGATAGAATCCCTTTAACTACGGACTGAGCTAACGCTAACATCGCTAGCTTCTCCGTCTCAGATTAGCCAACCGCTACCGTATCGCTATCCTTAACGGCAGCCAAATATACAAATAAAACGCTTATGGGCAAAAACATTAACAATAAAAGCGCCCTATAACTGGTGGAATATGATAGCTGGTGGAATATTTATTCATTTCCTAGTAAAACTGCGGACGGAGCGCGGCCTGCTGCGGTTCGCCTGAGGGGGAGCCGCATGGTTGTTAGCCAACCACTCAATTTTTCATTCTATAACCGAATAAACCAGTCGTTACTCCTGACACGGGGCTGCCCAACACATTACCACAATGAAATGCTTTATGGACGTTTACTCTGCTTCACTTAAAACCGAAATATAGTACAATAAAGTACATTCGTGTTCATAGCCGACACGTTTCGGCACTCACCATGTTGAACAGGAGGCAGGAAAGAGGACCGGAAGAGGCAGAGCAGGGCCGGAGTAACGTTCTTCCTCCGCCAAAAACAAAAAAGAAAAAAGTCGCTGAGAAAGGTTTTATAATCAGGAAAATATATTTATATTATAAATTTATATAAATATTTATATTAATGTGTGTATTTATTTGCGTTTGCTTTTGGAATTTGAACAGTAGCTGTTAATGTCTAAAAATGAGTCAGTTTATCGCGGAGGGATATTCTGTGTCGTGCAAATCACAGCACACTGTAAAGGCCCCAAGTAATAATAATAATAATAATAATAATAATAATAATACAGTGTAAATTATTGCCAGGATGTCACATTATATAAGACTATTTTTCCACTATAATAATAGTGTATTTATCATTTTATAAAATACTATATTCATCATTCAAGCATTTGTAAGTCTGGAAAAAAAAGAATTAAAAGTTTTTTCAATTTGTAAAAGTAAAGCAAATTAGTAGCCAGCAATTGACTGTAAATTTACGGTAAATTGCTGGCTACTGATTTGCATTACTTTTACAGTTCTTATAGTAAAAATTACAGTGTTTTAACTTTAGCTTATTACTGTAAGCGTAGCGAGGTGGGACATCAAATAAGAAAGTAGTGGATAAGAGTTTGTCACTAATTAGTAATTGTGTGCTTCTTTAATGATGACAGTGCAGGACATTTTGAATGAAGGGATTTAATCAACTGTAGTAACCTAAACTCACACCCAGTGATCAGTGGGTCAGGAATGTAGGTAACACTGCTAAGGGACTGTGGAATGGATTTCAGTGTTAGTTTATGGACACACAGCACTGTCTACCTGCATTCAGCAGTTTTATTTTCCCATTCGATAGCATTGTATGAACTTAGTAATAAATATATTTTTAAAAAGTTTCTTCTCCTGAGATTTCATTCTTCTGAAGTTCCAGGAAATGCACTACTGTGTTAGACTTTCAGTACAGCGTTTGGTGTTTATCAAGTGATGTGTAGTCCCAGTCAGAGCTGGGGGATACCACTGAATTTGTCTTCAGTCTGATACTAAGTGCAGAGGTATAAATTAGATTTTTGGCTCAACAGTTTCTTTAAAGACCCAGGGAACCTAAATCTGTGTTTTCTTTCTGATTAGGTTAATCTTGTTCCTGCAGGCAAACAAACATGTACTAAGTATACCCTCTGAATAATGTTCCAATGACCAATAAGTGACCGATAAATTTCACCATATTTTTCTCCTCTTGGTGTTAACTGGGCAGTCCTAATGTTGGGTAATGCTTCCATGAGCATTTCCTTACCAATCACACATAGCTGACCACTCTTGCCCCACCCACATAAAACATTTTCAGACTCAGAGAAACTTAGCGAGCTAAAGCTAGCCTCGCAGAACCATAAGCTAAGCTAGACCACTTTGTCTGTAGCTGCCCATCATCCGTTTACCCATATATAAACATTGATTGTTTGTTTGTTCCTTATATCTTTTGTTTTTTATTCAAGCTTTGCTGGATGTTCAATACAACATTCAAGTTTAGTAACATACAAACATTTTTAATGTTTTACTCTGGGTCTTTAAGGTTTTCCAGTTTAACCTATTCTCTCAGTTTTGCCATGAAAGTTTAAAGTTTAACATCAAATTGCAAATAATTAATATGATATATGTAACAGAAAATTAGTCACCATATATTGCATGTGACACCTCTGAAATCAGTTTTAATTTATAACTGATAAGAATTAGAAATGTATTGTCTATTTCATTTTAATTAACTGACCAGTTTGTTTTTTCTTTTTTTTCTGAAATGGGATGTTTCTCATCCCTGATTTGTGAAATGTAGTAACCTGTATCTCTTGCAACTAAAAAACTAAAAAACACAAAATGTATGTAAGTTAATACATGTACAGTCCTGTGAAAAAGTATTTGCCCCCACCCAATTTCTCCTATTTTTGCTAATTTGTCACATTTAAATGTTTCAGATCAGCCAACTGACTTTGATATAAGATAAAGACGACATAAACGCAAAATGCAGCTTTTAAATGATCACTCCATTTATTGAAGATAAAGATTTATTCAAAACCTATATCACCCATGTGAAAAGGTAATTTTACCTAATAACTGGTTGTGCCACACTTGGCAGTAACAACTGCAATCAAACGTTTGCAATGAGTAATAACTTGCGATGAGTCTTTCACATTGCTGTGCAGGAAATCTGGCGCACTCTGTTTTGCAGAATTGTTTTATTTCGGCTACATTGGAGGGTTATCGAGCAAGAACTCACCGTTTAAGGTCTTGTCACAACATCTTAATGGAATTCAAGTCAGGACTTTGACTTGGCCACTCCAGAACCTTAATTATGTTTCTGTTTAGCCATTCAGAAGTGGACTTGCTTGTGTGCTTCCTGTTGTCCTGCTGCATAACCCAACTGCGCTTGAGCTTTAGATCACAAACTGATGGGCAAACATTCTCCTTAAGGATTTTCTGATAGACAGCAGAAATTATGGTTACATGAATTATGACAAATTATTCAGGCCCTGCTGAAGCAAAGCGGCCCCAGACCATCACAATACCACCACCGTGTATGACTGTTGGTATGATTTTCTTATGGTGGAATGTAGTTTTAGCTTTATGCCTGATGTAATGGGACACACGTCTTCCAAAAAGTTCCACCTTTGGCTCATCAGTCCACAGAATATTATCCCGAAAGTCTAGGGGTCATTTAGATATAATGGATGCTCCTGGGAAGGGTCACCACTATTCCAGGTTTTCTCCATTTGTGGATGACGGCTCTCAGTGTGGTGCGCTGGAGTCTCAGAACTTTAGCAATGGCTTTGTAACCCTTTCCAGACAGGTAGATTTCAGTGATTTTGTTTTGCATCTGTATTTGAATCTTTTCAGAACGTGGCATCATGTGTTGCTTTTTTGAGATGTTTTAGCTTCACATTGCCAGACAGGTTCTATTTAAATCACGTTTACAGGTCTGGCAGCAATCATGCCTGGGTTTGGAGAGTGAAACTGAACCCAATAGTCAACTGAATTTGGTTAACTGGTTAGCCAAGGGGGCAGTTACTTTTTCACATAGGGCCAGGTAGGGAACAGCATTTTTCCTTCAATATATGAAATCATCATTTAAAATCAGCATTTTGTGTTTACTTGCGTTATCTTTGTCTAATATTAAAAGAAGTCTGATCTGAAACATTAAAGTATGACAATTATGCAAAAATAGAAGAAACTGTGAAGGGGCAAATACTTCTGTACACAGCACTGTACATATGTGTAGTGTTCTGAATGTCATTTTTAAGAGCAATAATGTGTTGGTGGTCACACATTTTGGCGAGTTCTGTCTTTGGAATCCTGTTGGGTATTTTTTCTTTTTTTTTATTTTTTTGCTTAATGACTATCATGTCTATGTTTTCCCCTTGAGCTACTCTGCATATCAAAAAAATGCAAAGTGTAGCATGTTTGGCTAAACACACTGACAGTATTTAAAAGTGTCCACATAACAATACCGTGTGTCATGTGATCAAAAAAATCTGTATAGGTTATTATATTGGAACATATCTGTGCGTATTGTTGTCATCTTTTGTTTGCATAATTATTATTAATCTGTGGGCCAAATGTTTTTTAAAATGTATATATCTGGAGAGAGATTCTGACTAAGAGTGTTTAATCTATGAGCAGAAATGCTTAATTTGTTTAGGCAAATTTTAACATGTGCAGTTTGCCTAAACCAAAGCTTTCATTATGCTTATTTGAGATGTGTGGTATGCATTTCTGTATGCAATTCACAGTTATGTGAATAGTTCTTTAATGTTTTACTTTATTTTTTTTAATTATTTTGTTTACCTTAGCATTTTTACTGATCACAGTGAATTAGGAATTATTTCTTTTTCGTTGTTGCATAAAATTAGTGTAAGTGGGGAGTGGCCCCCCAAAGAGGTTGCTTCTAGCATAAAGGGTACATGAAGTTTATTATATGTAATCTTTGCTTCAAGGGACCCCAAAGGTTTAGAAACGTTCTTGCCTAAAACTGCCGTTTTGTACAGAACTGTGCTGCATTTGCACATAATTACTTTTATTACTAGTTTTTTTATTAACATTTTTATTTCATTTAATTTCACCTAATAAATATGAAGAATGTAACCTGCTGACCTCAGTTCTGCACTGATAACGGATGGCAGGAACCCAATTTGTCGGATATTAGGACCTGCCGGAAACTGTTCAGTGGCCTCCTGTTGCTTGGAAACGGTCAACAGCAGCGTTGAGGTGAGCGGCTTCTGTACTCAGAGAAATTAGCTAAAGCTCCGCGAAGTGATAAACTGCTCTTTAGTTAGCAGACCTGTAGGTCCATATTTCTTCTGTTCAACGCAAATAATATCGATACTGTGTCTGGTAAGTTCAGTACGGAGATATTCTCCGTTTTTGGTATGTATATTTAGTTTGTCAGCTGCATTTAAGTTACAGCAACTATGCAGTTCCTGGGTCAACGTTACTGGAACCTGTTTTTATAACAAATTACTGTTCATTCGAGCACAACTCTAATTGATTTGTCACACTTGTCTTGTTTTATCTCTAGTTAAAATTTCAGCATAAGTGCCATTATAAGCGTAAAGTAGGTGTTTGTTTGTTTGGAACAGACAGCTGAAGTGAAGCAGTCATGCCGAAGAAAGGAGGAAAGAAGGGAGCAGGAGGAAAGCAGGCCGCGATGACGGAGGAGGAGAGACTGTTGTACATGCAGCAGAAGTCTCAGGCTGAGGAAGAAATGGCCAGAAGAAAAGAAGACATGCTCACTCAGTTCCTTAAGGTGAGACTGTGCAGCTGTGTCTGTATTAAAAAAATGTGTATGCATTAAGTCATTTAAATGTAAACAAGCTCAGAGTAGGTTGATGTGAAATGGTTCATTGTAGAGAAACATTGACTCAAATTTCTTTACAATGACGGTGATGGGAACCAGGGGTTGTGCTATCTGCATTGCAAATAATAGCCTTTTTATTCTCTATCCAAAATAACTAGTGAACAACCTTCTAAATTTTAGTATGTAATGTTAATAATGGTAAAATATTTTTGCCTTATGACACCCTGCATGTACCTCTCCACCTTGAGTGTATTAAAAATTAGATTTTAGTCCAAAACTGCACCACAAAACTACAGTAAAACAATGCCTCAGGCATCAGGCAGTGTATATGTAACCTTTTTTATTTGAGGTAGGTGAAAAAATCAGATGTCTGGTTCCTATCACCACCACCACTGTGAACAATTCTGAATCAGTAAGTTTCTCTAGAGTGGGTGCATTCCACATCAGACTACTCTGAATCACTTTGTTTACATCTTATTGATTAAATTATACAGAAATTTAGAAAAGCTGAAGTAATTCTCCTTTAAATGAATTCTCCTTTACTCACAAAAAGGAATGAAACTTTGTTTGTTAAAACTCTAGTTAACAGTTAACGGTAACCGTGTAAACTCATATTCCAGAATTCTATCCACCATCTGTACCTGTTGTTTTGATGGTTATCAGACCTGGCATTTATTCTGTGCGTCTTTGCAGGATAAGCTGCAGAAAGAAGAGCGGAACAGCGCAATAAATATGCACAAATTGACACAACAGTGGCGTGCAGTCCTGCGGCAGACAAGAGCAGCAGAGCTCCGCAGTGATATTGCAATCCTCAGCCAGACATTTGAGAGAGTACTTGACCGCAAGGACAGTGTCATTAAGGTGCAAAAGCCTGCTTCAATGTTTGTTGTCCTTCCGCTAGCCTCATTCAACAGGCATGAAAACATTTTAACATCTGAATTCTTTAGAACAACAGCCACATAAAAGTTTTAGTCAACATGTATGTAACATGTTTAGATGTTGTAGTTAAAAGGGCATGAGGGCTGTAGGCTGATACTTTTGGCTCTAATGACTATGAGCATGTTGTCCTGAAAGGTTAAAGTGATAGTTTTGTCAAAATTGCACAGCTTTCTCCTCACAAAAGAAAGTTTGTTTGGGACTGCTTAACCTCATGCTTATGTTTATGGTGAGTGTATGATGACTTAGGAATCCGGTTTGTATGATGCTAATTGGTGGGTATGAGCTTTAAATACTTTGCTTGATTAGCCTTGTAGCTCTAATGCAAACTGAACAAGGAAGCTTCTTTATGCCAAACATGTCTTGGATAATCAACTTAATTTGGGGTAAGGGTAAATATGATTTTCTGTCAAATCCTGATTTGACCTGACTATGAGAGCATGTACAATCATATGCATAGGTTTGATTCAAATATTTTGTTGATTTTCTAAGCGAAAATGTTATCACATCCTCTACAGGGAACAAACTTAAATATGACCTTTTTTGCCATTTTAAATGCACAATTCATGTTTATTTGCTAAGTTTAATGTAAAATACACCTTAACTAACTTGTTAAGTTTAACCAAAAATGTGCCATAATTTTATATCTTGTTTTTTTTTTAAAACAAACAGTGATTGTGCTTCAAAATGTGCAGAAGTGTGTTTTCTATAGAGGATGTGTCAACTTATTTTCACTTCAACAAAGCATGCAATTTTATCAGGGGTGCCCAAACTTTTGCATATGACCATATGAAAGGACTGTTCAGTCTCAGCTGCTCTGAATAGATGTATCTATAGATGTACCTCTGTTGCAGTCGTTGGTGTCTGATCTGAGTGAAGCAGAGCAGCAGTCAGCACTGGCTCTCCGGGCTCACCTTCAGTGTTTGGATCGTCTATTGGAGCTACAGAAAGGTCGACTGGCTGCACTGAAGTTACAGTGGAACAACAGCCTTGAGGAACTTAGCTCTGAGTACAATACTGAGAGGTGGACACGCATTCACATTCACTCATGCACTTTTACTTGCTTTTTATCTTGTGTCGTTTGAATAGTTCAGTATGTTCAGTATGCCAGTCTATTCTTTGGCATATGTAGAGACAGCAAACTGACGCAGTGCTTTGATTGTATTGTATTTTCAGGGAACAGATTCTGACGCAGCACCAACAGGATAGTGCCTATCTGGAGGATGTCACCTTTGCAATGGACCAGCACTATGGTGAAATAGACAACGAGGCTAGGCAGGATTATCAGAGCACCCGTGATGAACTCAAAAACCGGGTAATTTTTCTATGTCTTTCCATGTGTTATAGAAAAAAAACATGAACTAGAACATTTGTAATCAAAAATCATCAATAATGAATCAAAAAACAATTGTTGAAAGTATCACATTGGAAACAGGGAACTGACAGGATAGTCACTGACAACCACAGTAGCTTTTGCCATCTAAAAAAAATTGAGCCACAGTACAATTTCAGTATGAATTATTTTTTTCAGAGAAGATCGACAGGGTTTTGTTTTCTGATTTGTGTAGAACATTGAGGAGAAGCATGCACTCCGTATCCAACTGGAAGGCACAGTGGAGGAGCTTTGGCGGCAGTTCCAGCAAGCACTGCAAAGTTACAACAAAGCCACAGAGGACCGACACATCACTTTTGATTCGCTCCGTACTAAAGACCAGCGCAGTGCTAAGGAGATAGACCTGCAGATGAGACACTTGCAGAAGATACAGGTAAGAGAATGAAAATCTCTGTAAAATTCATATGTTCTGTAAACACATTGCAGTTACTGTGTTTATTGCAGCATCTCATATCTTAATCCAATTAAACCCCAGACCTATCATTCAGCGATTAATTTTGAGGCTTATTATTACGTACCATAAATTATGGGTGTAACGATACATTCGGCCTATGACAATATGATAGTTTCACAATATTTTGAACAAAATTTTCATAAAGAAAAATGCCGACTGTATCCCATTTTTTTGCAAAGCTTACTAATGAACATGCTGGTGTGCTGCTTGTTTGTGAACTTTGGTGCTCAAACAATTCAGTTGTATTCAATGCCAAAATTAATAGATCACTCTTTTTCCATGATGCACTGTCACATCTTCATGATGTGTATTGTCACATTTTTGCACTGCAGTATCACAATATCAACATGCATTGTTGCTCCCCTGACATGAAATGACCACAGTAAATTTTTTAGTAAGTACTATGAAACTAATATGTAAGATACGCATTTATGAAGGCGAGGAGTGGAACGCTGGATCTGCCACCAGGTCTTTACAAAAAGTTAAAGTTAGGTTTATTGTTATATATATTCAGAATACAGAGCATTCAGAAATACAGTGAAATTCTAACAGGTTTGAATGGCCGCTGTCTGCATGTATATGCTTGTGATGTGTGTGTGCAGGACTCCATCAACGCTCTGCGTTCTCGGCTGAGCTCCGGTCAGAAGGAAAGCGAGATGTCTGCACGAGGTCTTCGCGCAGCTCGTGAGGAGGTCACCCAGAAGGTCCAACAGCTCAAGGCTAAGCTCACTCTGGCCCGGGCAGCTGAGAGAAAACAGCTAGCTAATCTCACAATGCACAGCAATAACACCACTAAGAAACTCCAGGACATTATTGCAAAGGTACGCCCATTTATTACACACTCGCACACTCATGACACTCACTGGCACAGCTGGCCAATAAGCACAGTAATCCCATTTCAAAGACTCTCTCTTCTAAGTTTCAAAGAAAGTTAACCCTTTAAATGGCTAGGGCCCACCAATGGCCCCAAATTACACACTTCCATAAGTCTGTAGTTATCTGTAGTTACTAAATAATAAGCCTTAGTATGTAATAATCCTGGGATTTTAAGAGCTTAAAACACATTGCCGAGTTGGCTGACCAACTATACGCCCATCCTCCTTGGTTGCTCTACTTCAGGGGGAGAAGTTGTTATGTCTGGCTGAAATGTGTCGCAAGCTTGAGACGGAGCAGGAGAAAGTTCTTCCATTCTACACATCATCATTAAGTGCTGAGGAGCTGAATCAAGCAAGAGAACATGCCATGGAGCCACCATCTGAAGAACTAGCACAGGTGAAATACATATTTCCACAATATCATCTTAACTGTTGGACCACTGTGGCTCACAAAGCATACAGCACCACTTCTATCCCACTGACTCCCAAAGCACGACTGACCAATTTCATTTTACAGACTGGCATTTATAAAAGAACAGTTACTACCTGAGGCTGCTTGAATGGACCCATTATTTCAGTTCCTCTTTTAAGATCTTTCACATCTCTTTTGCTTATAGGCAATGCTAGACTATACTGTTCTGGAAAAGTTCTGGCAACGTTACAACAAGGTTCTATTGGAACGTTTGTGCCTGGAGCGAGAGAAGGTGGTTCTAGGTCGGGAGAACCAGCAGTTAAGGGTTCTTCTCAAGCAGTATCTGGACGGAATCTCTGTCAGTGATGAGGTCCTAAGCCAGCGGAATCCACTGCTCATGGTGTCCCGCCAGTCACTACAAGCCACTCCCACTTCTGAGGCACAAACTCAAAAGCGGCACACAGTTATAGAGGCAGCTCATGTGGTGCAACACACGCTGTAGAGAATATACACCAAAAAATAAATATAAAAGCAGTATTGTTCCAAAGACAATGCTGGCTGATGTGTATCATACAGAACATTTAAACAGACAATTTTAAACAGACAAATGAGGGAGTAAAACATTACACTCACTTTACAAGTAAAGAACACACATGTATGAGCACCACACACACACAGTTAAAAACGTTTAGATATTATACTGCACACTTCTGACATTATACACTCACTATACTCTTATTACATTCCCTAAATACTTAATCAGCATTATTCTCCTTGCTCAAAACACTTGTCCAGCTATAAGATGTAAACATATGCCCTTATTTTACTGTAATCTCACTCTGTGATATCAAGTAAACAAGGTAAATAACAAATAAACACAAAGGCAATTCTTCCACAAAGACCTCCAGACACCTTTTTATCACATTTTTCTCATTTTTTTATTTAAATAGTTTATTTTTCCTTTCACGTCCTTCTCATTTCTTTTTGCTCTTCTTGTCCTTGTTCTTCTTCTTGCCTTGGGGCTGTGCAGTGGACTTCTTGTAGAGGTAGAGACCCACCAGTCCCAGTAAAGTGGGCACCAGTGCTAGGCATACAAGAGGAAATACGTCATTGACCAACTTCTGCCAGGGAGTCTGCTGCACAAGGGAGACCACCTCCACCTCAAACTCCAGAGCAGCATCCCCTACAGAAAGAAAGATGTAGAATTTATCACACTAATGCTGGTAACTGTCAAGTTTTATTTGCAATCAGAAGTTTTTTTGGCTAAGTATGTCATAGATAGAAGAAATCTGTCTTCGGTTACACATTAGCTTACAAAATGTAGCCCATAATAGAAGTTTTTTCACTTGTGAAATCATACAGGGATCAATTCCTGAATTTTTCTACGCAAATACACTGTGAGTTACAATACTGCAGTTTTATCATTTTCCATCTTTAAGTCACTTGATACAACTCATTGGTTTGATGGGGAAAAACTCAACTGTGCCTAAACAAATTAAACACTTTGCTTACTTTTAGAAATTTGTAGAAAAATGAAAACAACCACAGTCACTACGGCTATTGTTTCAGCTCTGCACATCACTCCCTATGAGTGGCCCTTAACAAAGGATTACTGAATAAACAAGGATGTATCCGTATGTTGGAACCGTAGCTGTGTCTCAAAGTCAAGAATCCAGATGAGGTAGACTTTGCGCCACTGAAAGCTGTCCTGTTTTGTAGGATCCTTCGAATGCAGCAGAGAAATGCACCCATTGTTTCTAAAAATTTGGAGGACTAAACTGGTATATCCTTTAAGTCTTCAGTCACTCAAACCTTCATGAGCTGCTCAAAACCATTTCAAAATTGACAGAAACAGCTGCGAGCCGAAAACCAGAGTTGTAGCATTTTAATTTTAAATTTATATGTAAGAATTAAACATGTTGCATTGCTTACAAAGTCCTTCTTGAATGTATATTACTGAGCACTGAAGAGAAGGCTTTGTATGCCAGCGCTAGAATGGTCTTTTCTACCGGAGCTGCAGTCTTTACTTTGAGACACGTCTAAAGTCAGTAAACATATCAGCCACTGATGGACTGTCAAGCAGGTGTGCCAATCCCTGCTGCCAGAAATCTATAGCTACTATCTGTTTTGTAGATAATAATGACTTTAATTGGACACAAATGTGACACTTTGGGCAACTGTGCAGGTGCTTTGCTGCAAAATCTAAATCTGTGGTACTTCCAACTACAAAGGTAAAAAACTGTCCTGTTTACAAGTTTGTTGCATGTTGTAATAAAGCCAACAACTTCATTTCCAAGGTTTGTCTTTTATGCCACTCATTTTTTTAGGTGGTCATATTTCTATTGTGCTTGAGTCATAGGGTAAGAACATTGCTATGGTACCTGGAATAGTTGGAGGGTATCCTCTCTTTCCATATGCTAGATGTGCTGGAATGGTGGCCTTGATTTTTTGTCTGAGGAGAAAGAAAGGACAGACTTAAATATAATACAAGGGGTGAATTAAACATTACATCATTAGATCACAATGGGCCCAATTTGCCAAAGCTTTAGCACAATGTTTGCATATAGTCACAGTCATAAGAACACTGTCACTCAGTTTCTCTCTTTTTTGCCAGCTCTCATCATCAGTGTTTGAACATTTAACGACAAATTTGAAGTGAAATTTTAGGAAACAAACCTTTCAGTTTTTTCAAAGTTATAATAACACGTTAATGTTTTTTTTCTTTACCAAGTAAAGTTACCAAAAGCAACTTTTCTTACAAAAGCTGCTCTGGGTTTTTGAAATTCTTCAGCCTAAAGATAAAAATCACTTGCTTCAAAAACAATGTTCTTCTACCAGAAGCTTAAATACGTCAGAATCCTTTAAAGCAACTGCATGACCTCTCTGTCAAATGCTTTGGGGAATCTGTATTAAATCACTGATTTATTCGAAAAACTGAGAGTATTAAAATCAGACAGTTTGACACTTACCCTTCACAGACACCAAGCAGGGCTTGCTCAAGGCCTGTCAGATACAAAAGGTAATTTAATTAATTAATTTAAAAGTTAATGCTGCTAAAGTTAAGTCTTAGTTAGTAGTAACATAGTAGAGCTATGCCTACAAGCTAGAAGTATGGTGAAAAGAAAGGAAGTATTACACATCTTTCCTTGCCTACCCAATGGAACTGGACATACCTGAGATGACTGTCCTCTTCCCCAGCTCTACAACTAGAGGCTCACGGGACAGAGAGGAGTCTATCACCTTCCCATCCAGCAGACGCCCCTACACACCACAGTAACCATTTTACAGTTTCAAAGTTAAGGTTTAAGGTGGATATTTGCTTTGCAAACAAGACCAGCGTAAGACAAAAGATAATTCTTATGATCGTGGTGGTAAAAAATACAGAGAAAGTGTATTAAGTGAAGATATGATGAGTGAACATGTGATTAAGTGAATGTATGGGCATGTGTCAAAATCTTACTCAGTTTAGAGTGGACATATGATCCCAAAAATATGTGAGTGAAAGTAAGAGTGACAGTGCAAATGTTCAATTTACAGTAAAAGGTATTTTCCACCGCAGATTATAATAAAGATCTATAGTAATACTACATTCTGCAGGATTGAAAAGAATCTCATAGTAATCTCAGACAATTACTATAAGCTACTACAAGGAACACTCTTAAAAAGGGTTCAAAGGGTTTTTTAGTAAAAAGAATGGTTCTGTTTCAAAGCATGGGTTCTATATAGTCCTCTTTCATGCTTAAATGGATCTTTGAATGGTGAAATGTTTTTTTTTGATTAATGGAGAATATACTGTAAATGTTCTATATAGTTCTAAATAGCACCAAAAACGATTTTTCTATTGTTACAAGCTTGACATCATAGCAGTAGAAAAACTCTTCTCAGGTTCTATATAGAACCAGAAAAAGGTTCTACACAAAACCATATACAACAGATTCTCCATCAATCTATTTCACCATGCAAAGAACCATTTAAGCATTAAATGATTCTGTACACTCTTAAAAAAGATGGTTGTTCATGGGATCTTTAGTAAAGAAAATGGTTCTACAAAGAACCATGAACACTCAAAGACCCCTTTGCATGATTAAAGGGTGCTTTACATCAAGAAAGTGTTCTTCAAATTGATGGAGAATGTGCTGCAGATGTTATAATATAATGTTAGGTTCGATATAGAACCTTTTTGAAGATTCTATATAGACTAAAGAACCCTTGAAGAACCACCTTTTTAAAGAGTGTACTATTACTACATAAGTAGATATATTATAGATCTACTTCATATATTATATAGTTGTATGATATAATGTACCCTTTTGGGTGCTATACAGAACCCTTTTCAAAAAGGTTATATGTAGAACCATCTCCAGCACATTCTTAAGAACCCTTTCATCATGCAAAGTAGAACCATTTTTTTGTAGAAACATTTTCTTTACTAAAGAACCTTTGAAGAATCATCTTAAGAGTCTATAGAACTAATGGTTCTAAACAGAATCACTGCCTTTCACTAAAGAACCCTATTACGGGAGGCGCAAATAGTCTAGATTATCACAGTGACTGACTATTACAGAAATCACAGCACTATAGAAATGTTACAATTTCTTACAGTGTCCCTTTAGATCCGTTTCTTGAGGGAAAAATCAAGCCAAATAATCAATAGCACTGGTTTTAAGTCATGTTTGGCTTCCTCTCTGAGTATCTGGTGGAGCCTGGACTCCGGCCCGCCTAGAGCAGAATGCTGACGTGTTGCTCCTCCTCTTCTAGTGCAGTCAAGTAGAAAGCCTGTCAATTCGTCACCGTTTTTTTTTTCTTTCTTTAAAAACACGTAGCTTTTTTGGCCAGGTCACGTTGTCATACTGCTGACACATCACCATTTGTCTGCTGTTCACTGGATCTGTCTCTAAACTCCAAAATCACACGTCACCCTTCAGTCCTAAGTGTGGCTAAGGCTAGCCCTCCTACTCTCTCTCTCATTCATAACATACGGCGCACAACCGTCGCTGCTAACGCTGCATAATCAGTGGACACGATGGGGTTTGGCTGGAAGGGACATCGTCAACATCTGGATTTCACAAGATTAGCGCTACACGTCCGTTTGAACACGCTAATGTGGTCGCTAACACACACGACTGAACGAAACCGAAGGAGGCTGCTTTTTCGCCAGCTTCTTACCCGAATTTTCCGTTCCACCTTAAATGGTTCAGGCGCATGAATGTAACTGCTGCACCATTTAAGGTGGAACGGAAATTTCGAATAAGACGCCAACTTCAGCTTTGCCAGGGCGGTGCCTGGTTTTACAACAGAAATGTTTTCTATAAAAAGAAAGTGAGAACATGCTATCCTTACCGTGTAATGGATCCGAAGCGTGTCTCCCATCACTGACGTTACTGTACACGTTTCTGGCTTTGCCTAAAGAAGGGTGAACACAAATGGTGTAACTTATTTGAATACATGAACGTGTTTCATTGCAAATCACTGTCAAATTAATTTAGTGGTTAAACGTGCAGATTTGTGAACACTGGACTCTGTGACTGTGAGGGCATGTATGTAGGTGCAGGAGGCTACAGAAGTGAAACAATGAGAAAGAGTGGCACTTGGAGCTGGAGCTACGTGTCCTCTCGGAGAGACTGTGCAGAGCAGAAGTCAGAGAAGGAAAAAAACTTCAGAACTCACCAGGGTTTCCACCACCAACTCCTCCACATCTTTCTCCGTCTCGCTGTCCTCAGCTGCAGCGAATGTCAAGGCAGCGAGTAAGACTATAAGAATCCAACTCCGAAACTTCATTTTTGTATCTATTAATAAAAAAATAAGAAAACCCACAAAAGCAAACTACTGAGGCTGGTTAACTTCCGTAAAGAGGACGAAGAGTGAATGAAAGGCGACAGCTAGACTGCAGAGAGTGCACAGGTCACCCTCTCAGCTTAAATACTAAACGGCTCGACGCCAGTTAAGGCTGATGTGTTACTCTAGCAGGGTGATAACGGGCCGGTCGAGCTGAGATTTCTGTCCCGACACCTGGATCCTCGGAGTCTCCGCCTCAGACATTCCGCCAGCATCCCACAAGTCTCCGCAGGCCGCCGTGTGACAGACCAGTGCACTACCGACTTCTGACACTAGATGGCGGTGGCAAAGCAGCGTCTCATTATTTCACCTCAGCATTCCTTTTCTTCTCGTCTTCTCGTTTTTTACCTCATGAGGTCCGATTACGACGTTTGTGTTGGTTTATGTTTCTCAAACAGGTCATTTTAAAGTGTCATTTTCTCCTAAACAGGCTGTTTTGTTTACTGTGCCTTTAAGACTGATACATTTTGTCGTTAGGGGTTCGCAATACGGCAAAGATACTGTGGCACGGTACTGTGGCATCTGCGCCGAAAAAGACCCAAACTCTGGTATTTTCTTTTTAGGAAAAGACTCTTTAATAAAATAGCAGACAAATATGGAAACTACACTCTTAAAAAGATGGTTCTTCAAGAGATCTTTAGTAAAGTGAATGGTTCTATACAGAACCATGAACACTCAGAGAACCTTTTGCATAAACATAGAGTTCTTTGCATTGTAAAAAGGTTCTTCAGATTAATTGAGAATGTGTTATGATGTGTTATAATAGGTTCTTTTTAATACCCCTTTCAGAAAAGAATTCCAGTATTGATTCAAGCTAAAGAAACCTTTTATGGTACTATACAGAACCCTTCTTGCTAGGAGTGTAGTGCACCCTTGAAAAGAGGGAAGGTCACTAATAACAAAACACAACATAAAGACAGTGAACACTTCATCACACAAGTGAACTACAAGATAGAACATGATTAAACCCAATCACAACATACATGCAGTTCAGCTATTAAAACAACAACATTAAAGCCTTTTATTTAAACTAAATAAAGGCTGCAGAGCGGTGCATGGCGTTCTGGGTGTCTTCTATTTACCCCTCGCTGCCCTCAAACTTGGCACTTAATAATATTTTCACAATACATGACATGTATCACAATATTCTGACACGCAGGAACAATGCACTAGTAGTGCAACATTTAAAAACTGTTAAAGAATTAAACAGAAGCAATTATGCTTTGTCCATGATATGCTCAAAAAGCATATTGTATAGTATTTATCATGATAAGGAACCTTGCATCTCTGAAACGGAACTTGCAATGTAAGTCAACATAAGATTTTGAGCAAAGAATTTCTTTCGAATTTCTTTCTTTCTTTTATATATATATATATATAAATGTGTGTGTGTGCATGTACTTAACAGAAAATTACAACCTGAACAGCCAAATATAATTTTACATTTTTCAGTAGTTAGTGTGTCCACTGTTTGACTTTATTACAGCTGAAATATGTAATATGCACTCAGTCTTCTTATGGTTGATAGGTAGTTTGCCATATGTTTGCTAATGTCTATGCAGGTAGCAATCAATCTGCATGTGGCAGTTGTGCTATTGGAGTGATTCATAAGGAGACACAACTGCAACAACATAGTGGATAAAGACCATTTTGTGTATGAGTGTGTTATTTTAATAGTTTTAACCCAATAGGGTGAGGTAATTGCCAAATATCATTTTATTGTGCAAGCACAGCTTGTCACATGAAGAACATTAGCATGAATTACACAACCATTTGACAGTAATTAATGCTCACAACTGCTGTATGATGACAACATTGTGACTTATTTGCCTTGGCAGTCTGTCTCAAACCAGATTCCTTTAGTGTTACATTCATACAAAAACTCTGCCTTCTAAGCCACTGAGTCATTTAATAACACCACTTCAGACACACCGTATGTTTTTTACTTATTTCAGGATGTCACAGAGCCATTTTGTAATTTCTTTCTTGTGCGTATCAAGTATCAAGCATTTGTTTGTCTCTGATCTTTAGCACCAACATGCTTACAAACTCTATGCCCAAATGTATACAGACACCCCTTCTAATTAGTGAAGTCATGTACTGTAAGGTTTGCTCACACACTTTAATCCCCTCCCATCACACAGCTTTACCTCTAAATGTCAGCTTGCTTGATTCTGACTGCCATCTGAATCATTAAACACTGGTTAAAAGCCTTCTGCGGGACCTGATTTTGGCAATGTCATCGCATTAACCCCTGTGTGGTGTTGTGGTCTGCGCAACTCATTTTCAATGTTTACCAAAAGAAAAAATGTTGTGATTTATTATTATTTCAACCTCAGATTTCTTGACGTTTGCTCATTTTCTGTGAAGAACATATAAAATAACACATTTTCAGTGACTTCACACTGTTCACATTTACATTACACATGTGGTGTTGGGGTGAACCCATGGGGAATAAAAGTGTGGAGGTGCTGTGTCCTTCACTCTGTTCTCCTCCTACATGGCCTGCTGTTTGTGTATGTGTGTCTGTGTGTAATGTGTTTGTCTATGTGTGCGCATGTGTGAGGGTGGACAATGTGGACAAGCTGCTGACTGGCTACAGCTGCTAAAGGAGAACCCTACGCTGGCCACTTGTGATATTTTAAACATTTGGTATTTTTACATACATTGTTGTGGCTGTATTGATTAAAAGAAAAAAAACAATAATGTGGCGGGTCCAAACATGAATATCACACAAGGGTTAAATAAAGCACATGATGCCTAGTTCATGGAGCTGGGGTTTACGGCAGATGCATGGGAAATGGCCAGGATGTAGCGAAAATGTTTTTCCACATCCTCTACAGAGAACACACTTCTGCACATTTTAATACACAATTACTGTTCATTTGCTGTATTTAACAAATTAAAAGAAAAAAGTGACCTGTGCAAAAGCTATGCAATATTTTGTATTTTATTTTTCTCCAATATGTTAAATTCAGTAGATAAATAGAAACTGTGCACTAAAATTTGCAAAAAAAAATGTTTATTTTCCCTGTAGAGAATGTATTAACTTATTTTCACTTAGAAATTTAACAAAAGGTGTAATTTGACCACGGGTTCTGAAACTTTTGCATACGACTGTAGAATGTGGTCTTAGAGAATGGCTGGTTTATAAGCAGAAAATTATTTCTCTGGAATTAGATGAATTTATTGAAACTGTACTCACAGTAGCCTATCAGCAAACAGAGTTTTCACAATGTAGACCAACATACTGTCACTTAGTTACATAGTTTAAATCAGGGGTATTCAAATGTCCTTTGGTACCAGCCAGGCTGCTGCTGTAAATAACAAAAACTTGTTTGCAATTTGTTTGTTTGTTCTTGATTTGCCTGGATACATTAATCTTTATATAAAAAATTATTATTTATTTATTTTTTAATAGCGATTAAAGACGTCCTGGAGGGCCAGGATGGTTTGGTAATTCCCTTACTCACCCTGATGAAAAAGGACTGTTAGAAACTATTAGGATTAAAACCCAATGGTTTTGCTGTCTAGTTGGAATTGGCTTAATGGTTTTCAATAGAGACCACTAGTTTCCTATAGAATACCTTCCGATCCAATGAGGAGTTCAGTCAACACAAATTATTTTGCAGCAGAACAAGATGACTATACTATAGTAAATGTGTACCAGGGTTAACAGTGACAGTACAATTGAACTTCTTTATTCCGAAGGCATCCGAATGTGTTTGGCTGAAGCTGCGTGAGCTGTGTGAAATGCAGTAACTTGTCTGCTTTGTTTGATAAGTGTTTGGTTGGTTAAGTCAACCTTGTTGAGTAAAACTCACACCTACACCACTCACATCTCCTGGCGCCATATTTGCATACTGGACATGCCTTTCCCATTGTTTTACTTTCCTTTTGTGTGCTGTTTTCTTTCCTCCAGCCTACCTTACCTTGTGTATTTATTTCCCTTCTGTTCTGAAGGTAATCCCTCTTGTCCCTGTTGGCTGTAAGAGCAAGTTAAGTTCTTGTACCTTGTTCTTCTTCATTAGTTAAACATTGCCATAAGTTAAATTGATGTGTGCACAATGCATAAAAAGATCAATGTCATTCATTAGCATGTACTCAGACCACTTTATTGTGATTTTATTTTAACATATTCCTCTGTCTAAGAAGGCACTTAAAACAGTTGTGTGGAACAGCTTGACCCAACATTTCATGCTGAAAGGCCATAACGTGCAGGTGTGTGCAGACCCTCTGGTAAATTCAACTAAATGATGAAGCTCATACATTAAGGACAAAAAAACTTAAATGCCGAATCAAACAGGAGTCCTTCCCATAGTCCACCACAGACCTGTTCAGCATAGTAAAGACTGGAAGGAAAATGGTGAGGTGGCGTTGCCTGAGTGGGCTTAATTCTCGCGAGAAACCCCGCATTCTTAGCAGGCCTATAGCGAGATTTCCTCCTACCTCACCGAACCCGAAAAACGGCTGGTGTCATCCTCAGAGGTAAGAGAGATGTAGGAATATTTCAGTTCTCACGCGATTAAAACACGTCAGGTCGTTTTGAATATCGAAAACACAAGTTATACTCGGGGAAAACCGTTCTTTCGAACCGTATTTGGGGTTGTACAGTCGCACAGGCCGTATATGGGGCGTTTCAGCACTTAGCCAGCCTGCTAGCTCCTCAATGTCGCCGAATGAATGAACGGAGGCTGATAATTGTCGGTCCTCTCTGCGCGCTAAGCTAGGTTACCTACCTGATCTGATGTCTTCGCCTCTGCGCCTCCTTTTCCTTTGTAAATAATTGAGTTATATCTGGGTTTAAGATCATCTGTGTGTATTCTTCGTTAACAAAATGCAAGTAATGAAAACATCTCCGGCTCCGGATAAGAGCCGGCGTTCACCGCCGTAGCGCAGCCGAGGCTTTTCTCCAGATAGCAGCAGAACCGAGCTGTGTAAGCACGCATGACACAAGCCCACATATCGACTTATTAGCACCGTGACTGTCGTATTAGCCTGCTAAAGGAGTAATGGCTGTTCAGATGTGGACCATATGCGACGATAATGCTCGTAGGCGTTCATTTAAAATCGTTATTTCGGTCGTGTCTCTGCATGCTAACGCTGGACGAGAAATGGCCTTCGTACGTGAAGCACGTACAGGCTAGTGATACTCAGTTCAGGCCGGTCTCGACCGGTTACAAAGGCAGTATACAGCCAAACACAGTTTTTAGAAAATATATCGCCTTTTAGGTGTCAAGTTGTAGTATTTAGCCCCTGTAGACCGTGTGAAACCGGACGAGGCTGAAGGTGTAGCGCATGTGCGGCGCTGTCAGCACCACGGACAGGGCAGCAGAAGCAGCAGCAGCTCGGCCATATTAACCAGCACCAGCAGCAGAGCGTCACATGGAGTAAATGAGGGAAATCATCCACTGTAAAAAGATACTTATTAAAAATACACAAAAGGTCATCCGGCCACCTTAAAATTAACTTTTATTGAAATTTCAAATAGTAAGTTATCAGGACGTACGATACGTAATTCTGTTAAAGGGAAATTCCCAATTTCTTGTACCTCAGTCAATAAGATGTAAACGAAGCTATTCAGAGTGGTTTGATGTTCTAGATAAATCGAGTCAGAATAGTTCATAGCGGTGGTGATAGGAACCAGACGTCAGCAGCGCCTCTGAAAGCAGAAAATTATTACAAAAACGGTCATGAATAAATTGCACGATGCCTTTCCAATAGTTTACACATAAGATAGCCTCAAATACAGGCAGGGCGGAAAGGTACTTGAAGGCTGTTATAAGGCAAAAAATTAAATATTCAGAGATGTTTTTTTTTCCAAATTTACCACTGTTTTACCATTGTCAACATTTTACATAAAACTCAGAACACACTGTCATATTTGTGTAGACATTGCAAACCCTGGTTCCTTTCACCACCATTGTAAAGAAATACAAGCCAGTAAGTTTCTCTATGTGGATGACACAGTTTCACGTCTCATCACGCTCAATGACTTTGTTTACATCTCAACGATTGAAATATACAGAAATCGATTAAATTTAACTCAGTAGATTCAAATCAACTCACATTTTAATGCAAACAAGTTTTTTTATAACAAGTATTTAGATACATGTTCCAGTATCTGGCTGACATGTTGTCACCATCAGAACAAAACTTCTTTACTTTCCAAAATGGTAAATTTCCAGATGGAAAAAACATTCTTAACCCGTAATGGAAATTAATCTAACAAGATTTTTTTTCCAAGTAATTTTGGACAATCTCTGTTGGTCTGATCATCATGAAATTGTAACATAACACAAAGCGTTGCAAGACAGTGACCATTTGTTTTTATAGTAGACTTCCAGTAATAAGCTCTCAAAAACATAGTAATTGTGAATAATAGCGCTGCAGTCTTACCATGATTTCAGAATTGATGGGAGACAAGCCTGAAATTATTTCAATATCATATCAGTTTACAATGTTTTATACTACATTGTTCTTAAACTGGGTCTGCTGATAAAATAGTGATTTGCGTGAGATCTTGAAGAACTGTATGGGAGGGTTAGTGGGGGGTTCACTTCTTTGAGGACATTTGTGTGAACAGAAGAGAGAAAGAGAACGATGAACAGATTGGAGTACAGCCTGAAGAAATGGCAGAATCACAGCTCAGCGTGTGTGTGTGTGTAGTGGGGGTGCTCATTAAATATTTGTGTGCCCAAGTCCAAATGTGGGTGTACATATACATGTTTGTGTGCATTGCATTTGTATAAATATGCGGGTTAAGTTATTTGTTGCTTTTCTCTCTACAGCCATTTTTGTTTCTTCTTTCATCCATTAAATCTAATTGGACCAACCCTTCAGTCCATCATCATTTTACCTGTTTGGATTGGCCAACACAGAGCTTCACAGCACACCCACACGTACATTTCAGATTGCTGGTCTGAAGAAGCTCGGTGCTGAATCATGGGGAATATTTTTGGTAATCTGCTGAAGAGTCTGATAGGAAAGAAGGAGATGAGGATTCTGATGGTTGGATTGGATGCAGCTGGTAAAACAACTATCCTGTACAAACTCAAACTGGGTGAGATTGTTACCACCATCCCAACAATTGGTAAGAGCACAGCCGTATTTCACATACCTTCATTGTCAAAAATAATATTTATTTGCACTAAATGTGTAACCTGGCTGCCTTAAGATGTTGATTGTAGTACGGGACCTCAAATAATAAATAAACAGAAAGTAAGACACAGATCATTGCTCTTTTAACTTACTATCAGAGGTTCAGTGGACTCAAAGGCAGCCTTAAAGTCAACCTGAAATCAAAATTGGCATTATTTTTATGTCTGTGGCCATATTATGCATGATTTATCATATCATTTAAAACAAAATTCATGTTTTCCCAAAATCTTCCATTAAAACGTAATGACTTTTGTCTACTTGTAAAATATCTTTTGTTTTTTGTTTATGTTCAATTAATTAATAATATCAGGTTTTGTCTCTCTCTCCCACCACCCCCACCTTCACTGAGTCAAAAAGATGATCATGCAAGAGGAATATATGTTATTTTCAATTCAGGTTGACTCAAAAGCAGCCGGGTTACTTTACTGCATATTGCAGTTTATTGCTGGGAAACTATGTCAGTACTGGCATCATCCTAAAAGTGTATGCATCTCAGTCGAACATCCAGTCTCTGAAAGCTCACATTAAGTGTAAGAATATTAGCACGCATTACCTGAAAGATGGCCACCTGCCAGCTTCTCTGTCAGAAAGCTAATATGACACTACACACTAAAGCCTTCAGCAGTACAGGATGGTTTTCCAAATTCAGTGACGCACCATTAGATAATTACTGCTGTTCAGCAAGTTTATGAAATATCTTGGGAAATTTTCCAAAACCATCTCAGTAAAATAGCAAAACAGGTATCATAATACTCTAATACTCTAGAGTGTGAATACTATAATCAGTCTTTTAATGAGTTATTTTGGCAAACTATGTAAAGTATGTGTTTCTAGAACACAAAATGTAGTTTTCTTAATGTAAGCATTTTCCTCCAGGCTTTAACGTGGAGACAGTGGAGTATAAGAACATCAGTTTTACTGTGTGGGACGTGGGTGGCCAAGACAAGATCCGACCCCTCTGGAGACACTACTTTCAAAACACACAGGGTAAGCCCCCTGACGCAACCCCCAAACACACACACACATGCACACACTCTTTTTGTTTGGTTTTCTGTGGTGTCTCATGCTGTTTTGTGCATTGCTGCAGGTTTGATCTTCGTGGTGGACAGTAATGATAGAGAGCGTGTGAATGAAGCCAGGGAGGAGCTGATGAGGATGCTCGCGGAGGATGAGCTGCGTGACGCTGTTCTCCTTGTGTTCGCCAACAAACAGGTGTGCCACATCTTTTACTCCTTCTTTCTATCCATCCATCCTACGTGCCATCTGTTAGCGTTTTTATTTTCTAGGGCAAATATATCAAATCTTATAATATTCCACAATCTACAATGAACGTCAATAAAGCTGTAGACAGTGTTGTTAAACTTGTCAAACCTCATTCAACCATGGGTTGTTCCATATTTCAGTTTCTCACTCTCATAATAACATAACTTGCACTTATAGCACTTACTCAATATTTCATAGTTGTTAGTGAATTCTGAGGATTAAAATTAGTAACAGAATAAGAATAATCCCTTAAAACCCCAGGCTTAATACATACTAAGTCTTATTATTCAGGAGCTACAGGGATTTCAGTGCAAACTGGTTGAGCTATTCTTTGGTTATAGAAGTGTGTAATAAAACCTGGCCATGTAAGGGGTTAGTAACATTAATAACAGATAATGTGCCAGTAATATGGTTGCATCAGCTCTTGGATCATGTTTAAGGAGCTTGACAGGTTGGCCAGTCAGCTGAAGAATGAGTAAAACTGCAGCCAAATTTGAATGTTTTTTTAACTTAAGCATTACACTGTAGTAAATCAAAATGAGTTTCATCACACAAAGAAAATTTTGAGCTTATTACTAATTTTTTCGACTTACACATAAGCAAGCCTCACAAAGACATGGCTGGGCCAAATTTGTGCATCAGCCACAGATTGCACAGTTCTAGTTTATTCAAATTAATATCATTCTACTTTCAGATATCCTAAGCTCCCATATACCTATATACTATATGCTAAATTGCTACAGTAAAATCATTATTTTTAGGAAGTTCGTGAGCTGACATGCTAAACTGATTTTTTGGCTGCTTTTTTAAAATGGTCATTTAATCTTGTCTTTAATATAATGCAGTTAAACTGATCAATGACGGCCAAACTGAAATGCTAAAGTAAATTAACTTCAGTTTTTTGTTTGTGCATGGCGGTGTACACAGGGATTAACTTGGGATTTCAGAAGTGAGGAACCTTATTTTTTTCATTGGTGTCAACAGTGTGGGAGCAATACTGTTCAATTTATGTGTTATTTTTAGCACTGATGTTATGAACATTTGATTAGAATTAATAGCCTATTATTAGGGGTGTTCACATGAACCAAAGGTGCCTTTAACTAGTTTAACACCTGCATATACACCCTTTGGCTCCAATATCGATTTGGCCTTCCCTAATATATATTCCACTATTGTGCTTTCTGATACTGATTTTCGCAACCTATGTAACATCTTTCTCTCCCGGTCATGTGACCTCAGGACCTGCCTAACGCAATGAATGCAGCTGAGATCACAGACAAGCTGGGCCTCCACTCGCTCCGTCACCGCAACTGGTATATTCAGGCCACCTGCGCGACCAGTGGCGACGGCCTGTACGAGGGCCTTGATTGGTTGGCCAATCAGCTGAAGAACAAGAAGTGAGGAGTCTCAGTTGGGTGTGAGGGCTTATTTAGGGAAAGGGGTGGGGTCAGTTGGGGATACTGTATTATTTGGTTTGGTTTTGTTTGTTTCTTTCTGTTTTGCAAATGTGTGGTTACTAGACCCTTCAGATGGTCTGTGTAAATGGACTTATCACACATGTTCACACATCTAGATATATCATATGGACACATGCACACATGCATATGTGCACGTTCACACACATACCGATACAACAGACAAGCATTGGTGTCTCTTCTCCTTGGTGCACTTCTCCATTTTCAGTGTAAACAACAGGCCACTTTTAACACAGTATCAGTGAAGCATCAATAGAGCATCCCCCTCAGTGTTTTTATTCATGTGCTAGTTTTCCCCTCCTTCGTCACTCTGTCTTTCGTTGTTTATGATGACTCAACGTGTTTCTACACACCTGTGGAAAAACATTTTTTGCTAGTGCGTTATGAGGTGATGCAGTATCATCTGATTGACTCCATGTCAGTCTTGTATTTTCAGTTTAGGGTTTATAGGAAGTATTTTTGTTAAGAATATAAATTTTGCTGTTTGTCTCATTGCACACAGACACATATACCTACTAACATTAAGCAACTCTCTCCTTTTTCCTGTCAGTCAGTAACTGTGTTAGTTAGAGCTGAATTGTGCCCTGCTGTGCTCTTCTGCATGGCTTTGCTCCTTGACTGTTGCGGTTCTGGTGTTGTGGCTCAGTAGACAGTAGACTGCATGCATGTGATCTAGAAGTATAGAGCTGGTCGGTGTTGCATGCCGCTTTGTGGCAATGTTGTGTTAGAAAGATGGCGTCATGAATGGCTGGCTGGATCAGTTAGATGTAAAGTTAGATATAAGTGAGGTGAATGTATAGATTGTATAGAAAAACAAAGGAAAGTCATAGAAAGTGGTATAAGTGCATGTCAACATACAACCCTTACACATCATGCAGTATTAACGCAGTTGTGGGCTGGTCTATCTGCAGCACGTCGGTAAAACTGTCATAAAGTTGTACAATTCAGTCAGGCATATTATAGTTCTGTATGGTTCTCTGTGGTGTTGGTAGATGGAAAAAATAACAGAATAAAAGTGGAAAGATATTTAAAATTGCATTGTTATTTGTTGACATCACGCTTTTGTGTGCATGGCTTGCATGCTGTGCTCTTGGCCCGTAAGATAGATAGATAGATAGGTAGTTAGATAGATAGATCGATAGATAGATAGATAGATAGATAGATAGATCGATAGGTAGGTAGGTATGTAGGTAGATAGCTATATAGATAGGTAGTTAGACAGGTAGACAGATAGACAAATACCTAGATAGATGCGGAATGCCATTTGTGGTCCCTGCTGTTGTTAATTTCTTTATTAATCTGTAATTGGTACGGTTACTGTATGGTGTATTATTCTAGACTCTTTAACATGTGTTACATGTTTCTAGTTACAGACAAACTAAGAAAACGCATCAAGCTTTTGCTTTAGTGCTGTGAGGAGTTGTATAATGTAAGTAAATGACGCATACATACACCAACAAAACTGCTTTGAGACAAACTGCATTACCTTGTGTTTCCCTGTGTTGCCTGTCAGTATTCTGTTCCAGTACGCAATGCGAGGGCTTGGAGTGACATATCACCCCAATGAATGTGAATTTTGTTTCATTATTTATTTGCTCATATTGTATCATATTGTCTTTATCTATTTATTTTATTTATTTATTTGAATGTTGTGTTCAAGTGATTAGAGAATGATGAATATTTATGCAAATCAGGCCAGTTTTGCTGTTTTTAAATGTTAGGTAATCCATTTTCACACAGTGCTTATCCATTTCACACAGTAAATTCATTTAAATATTAAATACATTCCACACTGTGTAGATTAAAGAATTTCTTTTAAAACACTAAGCGTTTACTGAGGCATCTTCTAATCCTGATTCATTAGTAATGCATGCTACTTCATTAGCAGATACGACTAGACTACTAGTGCTGTGTAGAGAGGGCACGATACCTTTCAAACCCTCTAGACTAAAACGTAGGTCATGAATTCTCAATGAACGTCAATGTCAGACAAAAAGAAATCCAGTCATGAGGATTTACTGACAATTGCTTGTGAACCCACATCCAGTACTAATTTAATGTAGTACAAATCATTCACACTATAGGACTAACATATACTGCCACTCTATTGAAATACTAACTCAAAAATGAACACTATCATACATATAACAATGCGATTCCATTTACAGCAGTTCCATGCGCTGGTGCATTTCACTACTGGTGCACTGTACTACTTTGTTACTATATTACTGTCAACACACACTACCTACTTAATGTATTAAGCTGCTCTACAACCTTAACGTCCATGTTTGAGCTGAACGTATCCCAGGTTAGTTCTTTTGTTTTAATACGTACAGACATCGGTACACCCAAAGCACAGCAGTTCATCGACAAAAACAGTAGTTTCTCTGATTTACGGTACCATTTACACAAAGCATCTACTAAGTCTAACTATATTAGATCATGTGTCCGTGCTGTCCACACATACTGTACAGTGTGATTCACAACCTATGTGTCCAGTCAGTTAAGTTTTGTGGCCTTATATTCTGTATTAGAAAAAATAAATAAATACTCATCTAAGTTATCGATTTAATGAGTTATGAATTGATTTAGGGGCGGGGCTCTTATACTTGGGAAATAGACTGGGTCATGAGTTTTAGTGATGTTGCAAAAGCATATATTCATAGTGTTTAAAATTTTTGTGTGCTTATTGCTTTGCCGGGAATGAGTTTGTAAGGGTGGTTTTAGTTCTTACTTCTGTCTTTTTACTTTGCTTTTGCTTACTTTACCATTGTGGAGCATTCTTCCTTTTTCCTTCTTTTTGTGTAATAGGTCAATCATTTTGATGGCTTTTACATTGTCTGTGGAAATGAAAAATTGGGGGGAAAGGAAATGGAAACTTCTCACTGAGTAAGAAAAAAAAGTGTGAAAATCATGGGGGAAATCTGCTGTATCTGTAACGATGCTCCTAGTTTAAGATAACTGCTGATTATTATGATGTATTGTAGTCACCAGAATCTCTCTCTCTCTCTGACCCTTTGACTGTAACATGACTCTCAAATAAAACAATGAGAATTACCATCCCGTTGTGTCCACAATACAGAGGATTTTCCATGGCCAGGGCAATCGATATCTGATTTAATAAAAAGATTCATCATTTATCTTATTTTGAATGTACAACCCCATTTCCAAAAAAGTTGGGACGCTGTGCAAAATGTAAATGAAAACAGAATGCAATGATGTGCAAATTTAAACCCTATATTTATTTGAAAATAGTATAAAAACAACATATCAAATGTTGAAATTGAGAAATTTTATTGTTTTTTGAAAAATATATGCCCATTTTGAATTTGATGCCAGCAACACCTTTCAAAAAAGTTGGGACGGGGCAACAAAAGACTGGTAAAGTTGTGTAATCAGGTAAACACCTGAAGGTTAATTGGCAACAGGTCTGTAACATCACTGGGTAGAAAAAGAGCATCTCAGAGAGGCTGAGTCTTTTAGAAGTTAAAATTTTGAGGAGTTCAGCACTCTGTGAAAGACTGAGTGGGCAAAGAGTGCAACAATTCAAGAATAACTTTTCTCTGTGTATAATAGCAAAGAACTTGGGGATATCATTGTATACAGTACATAATATCATGAAAAGATACAGAGAATCCAGAGAAATCTCTGTATGCAAGGGACAAGGCTGAAACCAGTATTGGCTGGCCATGATCTTTGGGCCCTCAGGCGGCACTGCTTTAAAAACTGACATGATTATGTAGTGGAAATCAGTGCATGGGCTCAGAAACACTTACGAAAACTATTGTCTTTGATCACAGTTCATCTCTGCATCCACAAATGCAAGTTAAAACTCTACCATGCGAACAAGAAACCATTTATAAACAGGACCCAGAAATGCTGCCATCGTCTCTGGGCTTGAGCTCATTTAAAATGGACTGAGGGGAAGTGGAAAAGTGTCCTGTGACGAATCAACATTTGAAATTCGTTTTGGAAATCATGGACACTGTGTCCTCCCGGCTAAAGACCACTCAGCTTTTTATCAGTGCACAGTTCAAAAGCCAGTATTCATGATGGTATAGGGGTGCATTAGTGCACATGGCATGGGTGACGTGCACATCTGTGAAGGCACCATTAATGCTGAATGATATATACAGGTTTTGGTAAAATATGCTGCCATCCAGATGACCTTTTTTTCAAGGAAGGCCTTGATTATTTCAGCGAGACAATGTCAAACCACAGTCAGCACGCATTGTAACATCATGGTTCTGTAGTAAGAGTCTGGGTGCTAAACTGACCTGCCTACAGATTAGAACTGTCACCCACCAAAAACATTTGGTGCATTATGAAACGAAAAAATATGACAAAGGAGTCTCTCAACTGTTGAGCAGCTGAAATCCTATGTTAAGCAAGAACAGGAAAACATTTCACTTTCAGAACTACAGCAGTCGGTCTCCTCAGTTCCCAAACAGAGTGTTGTTAAAAGAAGAGGTGATGCAGCACAATGGTAAACATGACCCTGTCCCAACTTTTTTGGAATGTGTTCCTGGTATCAAATCCAAAATGGACATATATTTTTCAAAATCCATTAAAATTTCTCCGTTTCAACATTTCATATTTTGTCTTTGTACTACTCTCAATGAAATATAAGGTTTAAATGATTTGCGTATCATTGCGTTCTGTTTTTATTTACATTTTGCATGGTGTCCCAACTTTTTTGGAAATGGGGTTGTAGTTTAACATGTCAAAGATTGTATAACTGTTGCAATTCACTGTGTGTATATATACAGTGCTTTCCAGAGTTACAGAAATATTGGCATCCGTTGTAAAGGTGGGCAAAAAAAATTAATGTTAAAAATAAATGATAAATATTGATACAATGTATAAAATAATACAATGATAATGTACTTCTTTGTCACAGTACTGTGCAAAAGTCTGAAACACCTAAGCAAGTTTTTTGAAACCATGTCTGTTGGCAGTAAGTGTGCATATGTCCATATATAATTAGAATAAATACCAATAAACATAAATATAAGAAACTCCTTAACAAGCACGCTTGATTTAGCATAATGAAGTTTTGATTGCTCAAACCAGGTGTTGGATGATAACTACAATTAAAACTGGGCTGCCATGAGGAGAATTGGAAATACTTAAATGAATACACGTATGTAAAATCACTACTTATTGTCTTATTATTATTTGTATTTATTCTAACAGTGTTTTTTTTCTCAACAGATGAGCACCTTCTTAATTGTAATTTTTTCAGGTTTCTAAACGTTTGCAAAATACTGTATAATCTCCATAGAAAAGCACTGCCAATAAAATGTGCTGCACATGAGCCTGAAGTCTTCAGTGCTGTGTGGAGGAGTTTAACTGGAGTGATGGAGCACCATCCATTGCCCTTCAGATGAGTCGGAGTGGAGTTTGTGATCCAGAACTAATTGTCCAACATCAGTACCTGACCTCACTAATGCTATATGCATATTATATATGAATTTTATACAGATCTTGCCTGCTGCCTGTGTTAAACAGAATTTTCTTCCTGTTGGCCTGAGGGAGGAGCCACTGTTCTTACCACTGGCTCATGATGGATTTGAGGAAACAGGTTAAACTGAACTTGCAGATGGTTCAGTACTTACCAACTTTGCCAAACATAACACTTCTATCACACGTCCGTTATAAAGTTTAGTGCACATTAACCCACACTTCCCACTATTTGTAACCTTCAATCGTATGGGCTTAGGGATAATGTCTGAGTGAACTAGTGACCCCTATTTATCAAAAGACTTTATAAATTTGTTTGAGCACTAGACAGACAGAAAGAAACCGAGATACACAGAGCTTTGAGCTGTTTCCTGGTCAGACATTAACTTATTGGGAATTTGCTTTAGTGTCCAGGTGACTATGAGTTGAAAAGAGCTCTCAAAGCCATGACTGTTAGTGTTCCAGGAAGATAAAAACTAACTTAGCTCTGAAGAAGTATATGTGTTCTGTGTATCTCTATATATTTCTATATATATCTTTATATATCTATATCTATATATATATATACATATATATATATATATATACATATATATATCTATATATATATATATATATATATATATAAAAATTTTTTACTGCATTCATGTTTGTTTGCATTTACATGGTGCTTTTACTCCTAAAAACACATTGCTAAAATAAATGGTTTTAAACAATTTGCTTAGGTGCCCAAGATGTTTACACAGTACTGCACATGTATGTATACAGTCGCACACAAAAGATTTTCTAAGTGAAAGTAAGTTCTCTACAGAGAACACTCTTAAATTGTACTTTTTTCTGTATTTTTAGTACACAGTTTGTATTTATTTTCTGAGTTTAACATATTGGAAAAAAAACAAAATGTAAAATGTGACATAATGTTTGCACAGGCCACATTTTATATTTTTTCTTCCAATATGTTCAATTCATTAAATAAACAGTAATTCTGCATTACAATGTACAGAGGTGTGTTTTCTGAGGATGTTGACTTATTTTCAGTTAGAAAATCAGCAAAACATCTAATTTGACTGGAGGTGTTCAGACTTTTGCATGTGTGCTGTGTACAGCATATTCTACAGTCTTTTTCAGTTTCATTGCTACAGTAGTAATACATCCCTCAATCAGGTGATGTTTTCACGGTCTGAGAGTAACAAAGCTCTGCGTCATGCAAATATCATATGACAAATCTGTTTTTTTTTCTTCCAAGGAAAAAATGAAGTGTACATGTTGTTTGTGACTTTTGACAAGGAAGTGAAATGTCTTTGTAAACCAGTAGGAAGTGTCTGTGTGTGTGTGTGTGTGTGTGTGTGTGTGTGTGTGTGTGTGTGTGTGTGTGTGTGTGCAGGTGTGTGTGTTTTTCAATCAGTGCCTCACTCAAACCGGTGATGCAGGAAGCGCCAGTCCTTTAAACCTGTTCCTCCACTCTCCTCTCGTACACTCACACACGGCTCCTGTTTGAATAAAGCACACCAACAAAGGCCACTCACTTCACTGTGTGCACCCTGTTACCTAAGCAAAGACGAGACAACAACAACAACAACAGCAACAGCACATCATTTCCTGTTCAGCTTGTTTTAAAGAATTGAATGTAAACTCTTTTACACATAAACAGAGTTCTTCCAAACTTTTAAACTTTACAGATTACAGATTAATATAACCATAAAAATATTTGTTTCCAGAAAAAACAGATTGCTTGCTTTTGAATTTTTGTTTTTTGAATGTTTGTTTTTGTATATGTTAACAACCTATTAATTACGTGAGAGTAATTTATGTAAACAGTTGTTTGTTGGTTTGATGAAGGTCTACCTGCTCTGAAATTCTTAACTATTAACTGGGAAATGCAAAAACTAATCTCAGAACAGCGGCAGAGCAACTTCTGCACCAAATTAGCAAAGCACAATGACAGTATATGAGTACATAAACAAGCAAGTAAATATCTAAATAAATCCACAGTTTAAGCGAAATAGCATTGAAATGAGCCTACCAGTATATTTGTTCCTGATTTTGTTAACAATTAAATACTGGAACACAACACTATTTGTGTGAAAAGCATTCCTTCAGTGTTAAGTTATGTAAAGTGTTGGAAAATCAACAAAACATGTCATTTATCTGGGGGTGTTCAAATTTCTACATACAACTGTATGTGTATATACATTTACATGTCAGTCAAAAGTTTTAGAACACATTTTTCCAGTTTTTCTTGACAGTTAAGCAGTTCCAGTGAATAACCTAAAATGGTTGAAAGGTAAGTAGTTAACTGCCAGAGGTAAAACAAACTGAGAACTGAAAAATCATGTACACTTCAGAGTTATAAAAAAGGCTTTTTTCAACAAACAAGTCATACAAAAAGAGGGAACAAGGTAACAACTTACAGCTGTTCTGCAATAATGGCGGTAAATTAATCTTTCAAAGTTGAAGCAAACAATTGTTTTTGCAATGAAAAACAGTCCATGTGACATTTTTTTGTAAACATCATGTAAGCATGGTCTGTCAGTGTTTGATGTCCTGTATTTAAAATAAATGGGTCATTAAAGGATAAATAAAGCATAATTTGGCTTTTT